ATGGTATTCATACAGTTAAAACACAGTCTATTCTCTAAAGAAATGTTTTCATATCGTCTGGTTTCAATTCGGAGGGGCGCCACTCCACATCTAAACTTTGCCACAGCGCTTCTATGTGCTTTTGGTAGGGGGCAGCTGACATAGCTCTCTGTTGTCTAGCTTTTCTTGAAAGACTTGTATGTCCGAAGTTTGCTTCTGCCTGACCCGCTCGCTCCAGTTTCCGACTGGACGTTAGTTTCCCATGTGGTTATATACTTTTTAAAAGTAGCGTTTTGTACAGTCTGAGCTAAAAGTCGTTTTTCCGCAAGAATAGCTGAGCTTGTGATATCCGGTATAATATTCCGTAGATAAGCTCTGATTCTAAAGTTCAGTTCTTTCTTGTCGATTTATCCGCCCAGCTCCTCTCAGTGGCGTTCTTCATCCTTGCCCAATGTCCAGCAACGCTTGACCACTGACGGACCTCAGTTGGAATAGGTAAGGTATTAAAGATCCAAAAGAGTGAGTGAGTGATTATTGCTTAGACTCGTGAAGAATTGGTCGCCAGCAACCCATACTTGTCGAAAGAGGCGACTAGCGGGATCTTGTGGCCAGGCTCTCTCACTTGATTGATGTATGTCATCGAATCCCAATTGCGTGGATCGATACCCATGATGTCAGTCACTGGACTGTCATGTCTTATTTACAGACCGCCGTCATATGTAGTCCGGTGTATAACAACAAAGAAACAAAAAAAAGATTATTGCAAAACGCGCATCAGCAATCTTGCAGCTATTCGCGGCAATCGTATAAGAGGAACGTGCCATTTTGTTATCACAACGAATAATGCTAGCCATAGAAATACGCCCCGAATTTTGTCAATGGGCTGTAACGAAAAGGATATGTACAAATAGGTCAGTTCACATGTGCCTGTCCCGTTAAAGAAAAGCGGTCGCCAAAATATATATGGCCGGCATATGTGACCTGTGGATACAATGCCCGCTTTTAACATTAATAACACTGTAATACCGTGTGATTCCACTTACAGCGTCATGTTCCGTAATAAATTTGATTGTACATCTTATCAAATTAAAAGGATATTAATATATACTTGTACAAATGTCATTACCCGTCTAGGGAGTCCAGTTTAGAATTAGCCCCAAGGGGACGACATGGATCGTTGCTCACACTATCAATCACTGGATTGTCTATTCCAAAATCGATAATTTACAGGCTGACGTCATATAACAGGAATACCGCTGTGTGGGGCGTTAAACAAACAAATATCATTAAAGCAACAATTTCCCAGTAACACGACTTATCCAAACACATGTAAAACCTGTTCTAAGTAAAGATGATAACTTAAATCGTTTCTACCTGGCACGGTGAACCTCTATCATACGTCTACCATTCGGGGTAGAATACCCATCAGCAACCCATACTTGCCGCAAAAGGCGTCTATGCTTATGTAAGAGGCGACTAATGGGATCGGGGGGTCAGGCTCGCTGACTTGGTTGATGCATGTCATCGTATCCCAATTGCGTTGATCGATGTTCATGATATCAGTCACTGTATTGTCTGGTCCAGACTTGATTATTTACAGACCCCCGTCATATAGCTGGAATATTGCTGAGTGCGGCATTAAACAACAAACAAACAAAACCATTCTTGCCTAAACAAAGATTACATCGCATGGGAAGGTGAGGCCCGGTCCACAAAACCAGCGGCGGTGGTATAGACTGCTGGTAAAAGCCGAGGGTCGGGGTTCGATTCCCCACATGGGTACAATGTGTGAAGCCTATTTCAGGTGACATTGCTGGAGTATTGCTAAAAGGGGAATAAAACTATACCAACTTACTCACTCAACAAAGCTATCTTATCTTTAACATATACTTATGACTAAATTGTTTGATAGGCATTACTTAGAAGTTGACGGGTGACAAGGTAGACACAATTTTATGGATAACAACTTCTTTAATACTGTGAAAAGCGACGTTTCGGTATAGATCCTTATTCCGTTGTCAAGCAAGACAGTCTTGTTATCCATAAAATTGGGTCTACCTTGATACTTAAGACTGTCGTAGCGTTACGATCGAAACAAGGAGCAGCAAGGTCTCGTTCCGTAAAGCGAAACCCCTATCGTAAATCTTTGATAAAGATTAGGATATTCGATAGACGTTACGCTATATCGCCTTGTTGAATGAGGCCCGGCTCTATAGGGATCGTTCCCAAACTGATCTTAGCCTACGACTATCGTACGTAAGTCTATGCTGAAGAATTGGAGTTACAGCGACCGTAGCGCTAAGATCGGTCTGTAGCAGCCCCTTGGCCATACAGCGATCTAAGCGCTCCATTTGTCGTAAGTCTTTGTTAAATCGTCTTACCGCTAAAAGTCTATCGTTTGGGGGCTAAGATTGCTTTGTAGAACGGGTCCATGGCTTGTAAATCTTTGACCTAAATAACCATGTATAGGTAACGCTTACGTGTCTCACCTAATTCAGAGGATCAGTGAGGACCTGTCGCCTTTCTGTCCTAAATAGGGATATGTTAGTAGTAAACGTCTTCGCACTTTATACCAAAGACTGTGTCTATTCTCCATACATATACGACTTGTTGCGCCCATAACTGGTTTCCCTGTCGTGATATTTAAGGAGCATTGTAGACTAACATCTAGTCTCTGAAATGAACATATCGTACAGAAAAAAAACAGTTGTTCAGTTATCTTGATAAAAATTTAATAAAAAGGAGCCCAGAGACTCTCTTCACTTTTAGATTCCTGATACTGCAGTGATCTAGACTTGCCAAACAATATAGACTTGCATGGGATATATTTGATATATACTTGTATCAGGGTCTGTAAGACAGACTAGGAGCATTGTTAAAAGCGACGTAAAACTAACTTCGCTCACACACTACAGCATGCTGGGGTTCACAGTGATGGGATGTGTCATGCTTCGCAAAGGGCTTAATCGTGACCGGCGTGGTATCTCTGCATGCATGCGATACCAGATGCCTTGTATGGAATTTCATAAATTAAATCAGACAAATAAAGCCTCCATGTCACAAATCCAAACGATTTGGCAACGAGTGTCTATAGCCTCAGGTGATGATCCCTAGCCTGGTGCCAAGATCCATAGAAACTTTTATGTAATCTTCATCTTAATCAAATGCCCATATCCCAGAGTCCTTCAATGTTGGAATCCATCTTTGCATTTTTGTGGCTGTGCGTTATGGCGACGACAACACCGTGTTGACTGTGGACAACTTGTTCACATCTACGGAGCCCGGCGAGCCACAGTGATCTGTTTGATCAAGCTTCGGCTACGTGTTACCTTTGTTTGTTGCTATGATTGGCAAGAGAAAGATGTTTCGAGTCACATTCTTAGCTTCGTAAGTCAGTGACCTTGACTGTTTAAGCTATTTAAGGTATCTGTTTTGGCCTGCCATTGTCGTAGAACAGTTTTTTGAGGCAAATTGTTTGACATGCATTTTATTTGTTAATGTTTTTCGAGTTATGTAGTATTTCAGTTATGTCGGTGAATGCAACTGTTTGTATTTTATATTTGCGTTGTGAATTGCTTGGCTAAAGTCAATGCACATTCAATATGGAGATTAACATTTGTTACGACACGATTAAAAAACATGGAATGGATTATGCGATCAACCTTTTTACATGGCGGCCTTATTTTGTCTGCAGTTACAAAAGAAATATGAATATGTTAATTGATGAATGGATGAACAATTGTTTTCTTTAACTAAATAGAAAATTATAAGATATTTCGGTTTGAAGTATCCGTGTCTTCCTTGTTCAGTCAACCCCGTATGTCCGGAAACTCTATATTACGGACATTTACTTTGGATACGATTATATACATATATAACGGGACGTATCACCCATTAATCCTTAATCCAAATATATGATGCTCTGTGCGCTTTTTTCAGGACCGGTTTCTATGGGTTAATAGGGACTGAGTATGGTTTTACGCCGCTTTAGCAATATTCCAGATTTATCACCGCGGGGGACACCAGAAATGGGCTTCGCACATGTACTGATGAAAATCGAACCCCGACCCTCGGCGTGACGAGCGACCGATTTAACCACAAGGCTACCCCACCGCCACGTACGGATTAATAAGGTCCACTACATTAACCAAGTACTTTAATCTAGCAGTAAAAACGGCTTAACGTCACACGGGACAGTAAACACTTTGCAATGGCACAAATGTGTATTCTGAAACGCCCCGATTTCCAGTATTGTTGTATTTGTCAACTGGTTAAAAACGTGGTCGGGTCAGTTGTCACATATTTTTGTTTGTTTGGTTATTTGTTAATTAACGCCGCATTTATTAACATCGATCTACGCAATTGAGATACGCTAACATGCGTGATGCAGGTCTCAGACGATTACCACTTCGGTGAAACCCACGAGCACGGGTATGGTGCTGACAAACCTAGAAACATAATCATAGGTTTCTGGCGTCCCCAAGGGACGCAACTCTGCACAGCGAATCGCGGCGCCTTAGACGACTGGGTCACCTGGCCCTCTACTCCACTTAGAGGCAGAGAAACAAGTACAATCTTTTAACGTCTTTGGGTAACACCTGGCCTGGTGTCGAACCTCTGACCTTCCTATCTCCTGATCTCCTGGCATACGTTCTATCGACCAGACACGGAAGAGGTCTAAAGTGAATACTTTTGTTTGTTTGTTTGTTGTTTAACGCCGCACTCAGCAATATCCCAGCTATATGACGGCGGTCTGTAAATAATCGAGTCTGGACAGACAACCCAGTGATTGACATCATGAGCATCGATCCACGCAATAGGGATACAATGACATGCATCAACCAAGTCAGCGAGCCTGACCACCCCATCCCGTTGGTCGCCTTTTGCGACAAGCATAGTCGCCTTTTACGGCAAGCATGGGTTGCTGAAGACCTATTCTACCCTGGATCTTCACGGGTCCTAAAGCGAATACTAAGTACACAAGTAGCAACGGGGAATTGTATTAATGACAACAAGCCATGTAATATCAAGTTTTATTCTGCAACAACATCCTGGATACAATTTTCACATTATCCTTTGAAGGATGATATCCCGGCGAACAAGCTCACGAAAACGTGACCAAACTGACGAGAGTGAAACCTATTACTCTGGAAAAACAACGCCTGCAGGTCTCATCGACAAAGAAGTAACGAGATCCACTTAATTGGTGACCTCTGTGCACGTATTCTCATTAGCTCGGATGACGATGTACTTGTGGTCACCAGATAGTCCTTGGCGCATGCACCTGAGTCGGTCACAGCTAGTGTTTGTTTGTTTGTTGTTTAGCGCTGCACTCAGCAATATTCCAGCTATATGACGGGGGTCTGTAAATAATCGAGTCTGGACAAGAAATTCCAGTGATTGACATCATGAGCATCGACCCACGCAAATGACATACGATGACATGCATCAACCAAGTCAGGGAGCCTGACCACCCGATCCCGTTAGTCGCCTCATAGGTTGCTGAAGACCTAGTCCACCCCGGATCTTCGCGGGTTTCACACTGGACCTATACCTTGGTGCACGCATCCTGCCTTCTTTATACCAAAGAATTCACTATAAATCTGCAAACCATTGCAGTTTCATAATTAACCTTTAATGTGCAACGTAATCTTGAAGCTTGTCCTCTTAACACTTTCTTTGGATCGATATTCACAATGGTAGATTGAAATAATCGCAAACACAACAGTAATTGGACATTTTTACGAGCGCTCAAGTTACTGTGTGTATGTTATTATATGTATGTCGCTCACCGGCTAGCTGGCTCACTGATTTAGTCAAAACTGCTGGGACAATGTTTCCTTTTGAAAAAGAGAATTCGCCTATAAAGGAAGGATATTTCCATACAGGGAAGTAGATGCTTCTTTGAAGCAGACGACATTTCCACACAAAAACGGGGATGCTTCTTTGAAGCAGACGACATTTCCATATAAAGTAGTGGATACGCCTTGGAAGCAGGCATGTCCAGATGAATAATTGGACGCTTCTTTGAGGCAAACATTTCTATACAACGAAGTGGTTACTCCTTTGAAGCAGACGACATTTCCATACGAAGCAGTCGACATTTCTTGGAAGCAGTCGACATTCCCATACAAAGAAGTGGACACTTCTACGAAGCAGGGGATACTTCTTTGAAACAGACGACATTCCACAGGAAGCAGTGGATACTTCCTTGAAGCAGTCGACATTCCCTCGGGACGCAGTGGATACTTCTTTGAAACAGACGACATTCCACAGGAAGCAGTGGATACTTCTTTGAAGCAGACATCAGCCCTTTCAGTATACCATTGAACATCGTCGATATACCGTGTCTCTCTGTCTTCCTCAGTAATTCTGCTTCTCCGGGAAAGGGCATGAACGTTTCTGAAAAAAAAAGTTTAAATCCAAATGAACTACAAGATAATTAAACTAAACTTACGCACATAGAAGTTAACATTGCTGACACTCGGAATCTGTTCGCTATATCCGAAATTAGCAATTAATCTGCAGAACTAATTAGTTAGGTTCGTGAAAGTCGAATATTCGCTACATCCGGGGCAGTTCGAGCAGTTTGGTCAATGAAACAGCCACACTGTAGATAAAATTAGGAACAGATAAAGAAGGCTTGTGCAGCAACCGAAGAAAGAGCGAACTGTCGGCAAGGGTATTTAATTTTGTATGGATATCGGAAACACTGTCAGATATTTACGATTTTACTCCTTTTGCGTTTCTTTTTTTTCAGAGTATATATTCACCTGAGAGTGAATGTAGCTTTGGTGCATCAAGGCGGCACCTCCCTGGTCGCAGACAGCCTTGACCGCCTCCTCTCGCGACATTGTGACGTCAGAGAGACTGGAACTGGGCTCTTAGCTGATGGTTGCTGCAAAATATCGGATGCAAAAAGACACGGTTTGAAATACTGTTTGGTGTCTAACGCTGCACTGCATAGTTCAACTATATGACGGGGCTGTAAATAATCAAGGACGGGGTTCATTTAGACTTGAAGTCTGAAGTCTCTCAGCGAAAAATTATTAGTTTAAATCGTAATTTCTAGATTATATAAATAATAAGGACATGGTGTGCCTATAAGAGACTGGCGTCCTTACTGTCCACTTATTTAGACTTGCCTCTTATAAGGATAAAACACTATACACCCATGGACCTATCGTTCAGTACAGCCTTGGGGCAAGGCTAGAGGCTCATTGTACATGCAGTTATTTAAGCATTGTGAATACATGCGAATATTGTGTCATTGTGATTACATTGGGAAATTGAGTTTTAAGGATATTTGTGTCTTTGTTGTTTAATGCCACACTCAGCAGTATTCCAGCTATATGACGGACTGTAAGTAATTAAGGAGATCCGGGGAGAATAGGTCTTTAGCAACCCGACTATGCTTGTCCTAAGAGGCGACTAACGGGATCGAGTGATCAGGCTCGCTGACTTGGTTGATGCATGTCATTGTATCCCAATTGCGTGGATCGATACTCATGATGTCAATCACAGGATTGTCTGGTCCGGACTCGATTATTTACAGACAGTCGTCATATAGCTGGGATATTGCTGAATGCGGCGTTAAACAACAAACAAACAAATTAGGGCTGGATCAGGCAATCGAGTGATTGATATTGTGAGCAAGAGATCCAATCAATGCAGGTAGCAAGCCTGACCACCCGATCGATTTGGTCGCCTCTTACGATCAGCATAGGTTGGGAAGGGACCTATTCATTAACCCGATTTGGGGAAACCCACAAACACGGGTGCTGTGCTGACACACCAAAGATCAAACTCGAAGTACTGGATTCGAACCCATGGCCAACAGACCTTACAGACTTAGGAACGCCGCTCTTCACAACGTGTTAAGGTGTCTCAGACAGTTGCTTCCACTCGTGGTCTCTTCGTGACAGGAAGCTGGAGGTGGCACCAGACAAAGAGGCCCGTTAAGCTCAGCCTGATTCCCTGGGTATGCTGCGCTGGCGTTACACTGAGTGTAGCGCCAGCGCAGCATACCCAGGGAACCAGGCTGCGTTAAGCTAGACACGTTCCCGGTGAAATTGTCCGGATTACCAGACTTCCGAATTAATGAGTGAGTGAGTGAGTATGGTTTTACGCTGTTTTTGGCAATATTCGACCAATATCACAGCGGGGGACACCGGAAAATGGGCTTCATATCCGAATTAATTAACCATTGCTACGTTTATAATAGTAACCGTAGGTACACTGAGGTTTCCGGATTGACGAGGGGCCAACTGGGTTTTATGATATACTGAAGGGTTTCATTGTACGCTGAAGGGTTTCATTCTTAGGGTAAGAACATACATACCTGTATGAGGATGCAGCTCATATCAAATACGTCATCCTCGGCTGCGACGTCACAAGTAGCATTCTTTGACCCACACAACGTTGTGAATAACCTCTCTGTATTTTCCACCTGAAACACAAAAACAAGGATATTTTATTGGTGGGTGACATCTTCACGGCGATACATACAATCACTTATGTACATCAGCGGGGTTATGTGGATTGGTTGGTCCAAATGGTCGATGGCTGTGGATTATAATGTGTCTGTTGAAGCTTCAAATGAGTTTGGTTTAACGCCGCTTTCTTCAATATTTCAGTTACATAATGACGAGGGCGCCATACCGTGCTCGTGGGTTTCACCAAAGTGATAAACGTCAGACACCTGCATCACTTCGTGCTTTCCTCCAACATTAAACTGCCACCCCGTGATATAACTGGAATAATGTTCAAAGCAGCGTTAAACCCAACTCACTCACTCCAAATGTCTATCAAATATTAAAGCATTATTCATACCTTGAGTCAAGTATGAAATCTGGTCCCATATCGTCCACATAAAAAAGGACAACGAACGTCATTTCTTGACGCTTACAGATAAATCAAACCTCATTGAAACATTCCCAGCAGAAGGGAATCATGTGAGAACATGCACGTTGACTTCACAACGTGCAAGGAAGTGTTTACACCAAGCACTGGTAGCGCCTATATCTGATTCAAGTGGGTCAATATGGCTGTACATGACCAAAATAGATGCCAGTTCGAGGCGTGAATATACGCCAACTGCGGCTTGCAAATACAAAAATAGTTCCAAATCAACTTAGCGTTCAAGACATGTTTGTGACCACGTTCCTTGATTGCGTGCCTGCGTCATGAAAGGCACACAGATATGTGGGGGAAAAACGTGAAAAAATATCTGACTTCTAACGATGTCATTTTCAACAGCTTAAAAATGAGTTATATAAGATAGTTTGACGTCACAATGCATTGACCGTGAAATGGAAGCAAAGACGAATTATTGATTAATATTGAGTAACTGTTCCATTCGGATGTTACGGCCGTAGTTGGTTTAAAGGTTATACTTGTAAAACAGAATTGAGGTGGGAGTAAGACGGGGTGGTTATATAGGTGGGCAAGTGGATCCTGTTTTATGCCGCCAGCACCCATATTCTATCTATATCACGGGACTCTGACCAGACTCAGACCGATAGAAGCCATCAGGGTATAGTGACATTCAGTCAGCCATTTATACCACCCCATTTTGTTTTTTTTCGAAGTAGGGCGTTCAGCGCCTTTTCCCCAGTATTCCAGCCATAACAGGTGAGGTGAGGTGAAATGGGGTTTAACGTCGCGTCCAAGATTATTGCACTTATATAGCGACGTGCATGTACGTGTATGTGTGTGGCTGCTTGTACTAGTCCGGACTCATGCCGATTTATAGTGCTAGCCTACTGAGATACCATGCCGCAGTTTAACATGAATACCCCACTCAGACACAGTATACTGACCCCGAGCCGACCAGTCCTTGCTTTAGCCCCTAAATGCCGAGCACCACACAGGGTAACAATAAGTACCATCTTTTAACGTCTTTTGGTATGACGCGGCCGGGGATCGAACCCCGGAACTTTCGCTCTCCTGGCGGACGCTCTACCTCTAGACCAAGGAGGCGATCCCATAACAGGTGAGGTGGGGTGACATAGATTTCAACGTAGGGTTCAAAATTAAACATGTACGTGCGCGTATGACAACTTACCACCGCAGTTTAACCTGTATACTGACTCCGAACCGACCAGTCCTTGTTTTAGCTCCTTAATGCCGAGCGCGAGACAGTGTAACAACAAGTACCATCTTTAAAGTCTGTTTGGTATGACGCGGCCGGGATCGTCCTCTTGACCACGGGTGTGGTGCAATGATAACATATTGTGGGGCATCAAGAACGGTTGCGGTTCGAATCCCGATCTTCTGCATCACGAGCGAAGTTTAACTAATTTGGCTACACAATCAACCCAAACATGTGAAGGAACTTGTAGATTCGTCTGTTCGTCTCACCATTCGAATATTTACCTTAACAAGCTGGATCTCGTTCTCCCAGCAAAACGCCTCAATGAGGGTGTGTTGGATGTCCAGCGTGACGTCATGCTGTCCACTCGCCTCGGGCAGCACGCACAGCATCACGTTGTCAGGGTTACAGCTGAGGAGCTTGGCACACTCCATAACGCCACTTGTTACTCTGTGTGCCAGTATAGCCTCTTTTAACACGGGGGTCAAGGGGGGCGTGGTCTGCATGAGGGCACTGGAATAATCGAGAATCTATATATACTGTGTAAATACCGAAATACAGACAACTATATAGAGAATCTCACCCGAGTGTCTTTTGATATTAAATATATCAACACGAGTTGATAAAAGTGGAAAAACTCCGAGGCTTGCCGAGGATTTTTGCCACTTTTATCAACGAGTGTTGATATATTTGATATCATAAGACACGAGGGTGAGATTTTATTTATCATCCAACATCATTTTTCCAACTTGTTCAATTTGTAGACAGTAATTAGCAGTGTCTTCAGTGTAAAAAGTACTGCTAACAGCTTCAGTAGCAGAGCCATTAGTGATGTCATTTGAGTATGACGTCATGGTAACCAGTGACGTCACAATGGTCTGCAAAGCATTGTGATGTCATTTCATTGCAGCAATATCTACAGTGTAGATATCGCTTGATCTAATCCAAGCGATATCTCATGTGCGAGCCAGTTTTGGATGCTAAATAATAATTGCCACCACAAGCAAAAAAGAGTTTGTATATATACTACTCAAAAGATTGGTTCGTTGGTTGGTTGATTGGTTGTTTAACGCCGCACTCAGCAATATTCCAGCTATATGACGGCGGTCTGTAAATAATCGAGCCTGGACCAGACCAGATGATTAATATCATGAGCATCGATCCACGCAAATGGGATGGCTGACATGCATCAACCAAGTCAGCGAGCCTGACCATCCGATCCCCTTAGTCGCCTCTTACGACAAACATACTCAAAAGAAGTTAAGAACATCCGGTTTTTCACATGATTATGGTTAATCTGTTATGGTTACGGTAATACATCAAGGTTCCTTAACTTGGTATGAGTAGTATATAGTCCCTGTACATCGTATTCACAATACGAAAAAACATCATTTCGTCTATAAAATTGTATCCGAGACAGATGTGTGAAGTTCCCACCGTGACTAAGATGTGTTTTTTTCCTCGATATTTTTTTATATTGACAGACATGTAGTAAGTGGATGCATGTGTAAGATGCCGTTACGTGCGTGGTGCCAACTGAAGAGTGAGTGTATGAGGTGGACGTCGAGAGAGAGAGAGTGTGTGTGTGTGTGAGTATTCTCACTCACACACACACACACACACACACACACACACACACACACACACACACACACACACACACACACACACACACACACACACTCTCTCTCTCTCTCTCTCTCTCTCTCTCACACACACACACACACACACACACTCTCTCTCTCACACACACACACATATATATATCGTAAAAGACAACTATACTGATATATTAGAATTAGACACGCTCAGTTATTATACATATACACGCCAACTATACTGTCATATTTGACACGCCTAGTTATTCCAAATACACTGAACGAAAAGGGTACCTAGCATAGCACCATTCTCAAAACAGTTATTGAAACTTGTTTTCGAAAATGTATTCGTCTCTCCTGTTGAAAAGGTAAGTATATTTACCTGGCTTGGTATCCGTAGGTACTCGCGAGCATCCTTATCTTCGTCAGGAACGTTATGTGTGAAACTGGCGACGGATGTGGCTAATGTCCTGCTTTCTGGGAAGATGGGACATAAACACTTCAGTTGTATCCATTCAGTGACGCAAAAGGGTGTGATAACCTGTTACGTGACCCCACATCCGTTAGCACACCTAGTCACGTGATCTACCCGGCGCGTGCCTCCGATGTGGGGTGGTGGACAACATGACCCAGTTCGAGGGACAGGCGGGAGTTGGTTATTGCAGATTTATATTGATAAACACAATTTCTAAAATAACAGTATATTGAATGCAGGTGTCAAAACTGTACAGTGCTGTAAAAAAAATTATTATTTCTTCGTGTAACCAGTTGAATAGGTCCCGTGAAGATCCGCGTTAGATAGGTCTTCAGCAACCCATGCTTGCCGTAAAGGGCGACTATACTTGTCGTATGAGGCGACTAACGGGATCGGTTGGCCAGGCTCGCTGACTTGGTTCATGCATGTCATTGTATCCAAATTGCGTGTATCAATGCTCATGATGTCATTCACTGGATTGTCTGGTCCAGACTCGATTATTTACAGACCGCCGTCATATAGCTGGAATATTGCTGAGTGCGACGTTAAACAACTAACAAACAAACAAACAGCCTAGTAGGTGTTCAATTCGACACATGGTTACAGTTAGTTCAATAATTAGTGTCCCCAGTCGTGACATGCTGGAATAAGGCTAACAGTGGCATAAACATAAAATACTGCATGCATTCATATACTGTACACACATACTAGAATATACTGTACACACATACTCGTATATACTCTACACACATACTAGAATATACTGTACACACATACTCGTATATACTCTACACACGTACTCGAATATACTGTACACACGTACTCGAATATACTGTACACACATACTCGAATATACTCTACATACGTACTCGAATATACTGTACACACGTACTAGAATATACTGTACACACATACTCGAATATACTCTACACACATACTCGAATATACTGTAACACATACTCGAATATAATGTACACACATACTCGAATATACTGTACACACATACTCGAATATACTGTACTCACATACTCGAATATACTGTAACACGTACTCGAATATACTGTACACACATACTAGAATATACTCTACACACGTACTCGAATATATTGTACATACATACCCGAATACACTGTACATACGTACTCGAATATACTGTACACACATACTAGAATATACTGTAACACATACTCGAATATAATGTACACACATACTCGAATATACTGTACTCACACACTCGAATATACTGTACTCACACACTCGAATATACTGTTAACACATACTCGAATATAATGTACATACATACTCGAATACACTGTACACACGTACTCGAATATACTGTACACACATACTCGAATATACTGTACACACGTACTCGAATATACTGTACACACATACTCGAATATACTGTACTCACACACTCGAATATACTGTTAACAAATACTCGAATATAATGTACATACATACTCGAATACACTGTACACACGTACTCGAATATACTGTACACACATACTCGATTATACTGTACACACGTACTCGAATATACTGTACACACGTACTCGAATATACTGTACACACGTACTCGAATATACTGTACACATGTACACGAATATAATGTACATACATACTCGAATATACTGTACACACATACTCGAATATACTGTACTCACATACTCGAATATACTGTACACACATACTCGCATATAATGTACACACGTACTCGCATAATACACATATGTACTCACATAAAACATACACACATGTACTCACATAATATTTACACGTACATAATGTAATATTTCTGAGGAATTATTCTGTTGGGTTTTAATGCAAATACAGCAGCTGGTTGGACGTTTACGTCTATTTCAACTATACACGTGACAGTGAACGATTTGAGACCTTTGAACATTATTCAGTTATGTCACCTCGTGTCAGCCTCAAGTGGGAGGAAAGTCCAAAGTGATGCAGGGATGACTGCACATGCCATGCACTGACGGGACTGACATCAACCGAAACTGACAGTATATATTTAAAGTTTAGTTTTGTTTCATGTTAGTCTACTTATCGGGGCGGTCGGGGAGCCTAGTTGTAAAGCGTTCGCTCGTCACGCTGAAGGCCCGGGTTCGATTCCCGACATGGTTACAATGTGTGAAGCCCATTTCTGGTGTCCCCCGCCGTGATATTGCTGGAATATTGCTAAAGCGACGTAAAACAAACATACATACATAGTCTACTTATTGAGAAAACAAATTTCATCGTTTAAAAACAGATTAATTGTTAATAGTCAAGGCATATAATTAAAATTGATGCAGTATAGCCAGTCACTTAGATATGATGGTCGATGTCCACGTTTCTATATATTGTGTTGTGATGGTACGGTCCAGTCGTCTAAGGCGCTGAATTTCGCTATACATAATTACCTCCCTTATGTGACAGAATCCGATGAGCAATGGTTCGGATCCCTGATTATGATTCTTGGTATACGTCTGAGCCCAGATGGAAAAGTGGTGACTTATATTATGACGTTCCTAATCCTTAGTCATGCACCATAACTGTTGAATATACGTATCTTATTAAATCAAAACCAGTCTAGATTTATAATAAAAGCAAGTCTAGCCAGCTGTATGAAATAAGCATCAGGAAACTTAATTGATTCAATTTGAGATGAGAGAAATGTAATATGTAATGAAAGATTTCATAGATTATATGTTAGCCTACTAACTATTGCAAACTATTTGAACCTGTGATTAATATTTTGTTCTTCAGCGTATTCCTTCATCTTTCTTCTTAACAATAAACAAAATTAATTCGTATTTTAGGTATTTCATAAATATCTATAGAGATCGACCAAGCCAGTTACTTAGATATGATGGTCGATGTCCACGTTTCTATATATTGTGTTGTGATGGCACGGTCCAGTCGTCTAAGGCGCTGAATTTCGCTATACATAATTACCTCCCTTATGTGACAGAATCCGATGAGCATGGGTTCGGATCCCAGATCTCCCTGATTATGATTCTTGGTATACGGTATTTCATAAATATCTATAGAGATCGACCAAGCCCCCCCCAGACATGCACCCGGAATATGAATCCTGTTTATCACTTCAAACACAGTAGTAAGAAAGATAGCATTGTTATAGTCGTCAAGGGAACGTTAATGTCTCCTTCTGCACAGGTGAAACTCTAATGAGTCAGACAAGGAAAACAAAACGGATTTTCTAAAAACCAATATTTGTCAGTCTCGCCATAATGGCATCGAAACAAGCCAGAATACCAGACTAAACACGAGGGGGAGAGGGTGGGGGTTGGGGAGGGGAGCACGATGTCCGTGAAAGTCAAACACCTTGCAACTTTCTCAAGGTAAATTTGTTTGAGGGTGACACATTTCCTTAACCTCAAAACGAAACCTGTTTCAACATTCGACTCGTACGTATGTAGCTGCTGTTGGAGTGGGTGTCTGTTTGTATACAAACGTGTGGGAAAGTGTCGCAGCGCTAGCCAGCTGATACCGTGGGAGCGACAAGACACGAATGACGAGGCACCCACCCGGATTTACCCTTATATATGCGCTCTAAAAATAACCGAGTAGGTTATTTTTAGCACAAAGGAAGATAGCAGTGTAAACTCGGGTGATGTGTGCATTGACGTCAATACGAGTTTCTAATTGTCCAAAAGACACGAACAGGGAGATATAATTAAACTGCAGACCGCATTCGTTAAACACTTACACATAGGATTTTATTATCACGACTGTCTCAAAATAGTTCTTGATGACCTGGTCTTTTGATAACCCTTTATCTAAAACAAATTTTGGAGACCTATATGAATGGGTTACATTAGAAATAAGAGCGTACTTAAAATAGACTGGGATATTTAGGTTTGGTATTCGGGAATATTGCTGAGTGCGGCGCTAAACAACAAACAAACTAACTAAAGGAAGATTAAAGAGGGACTTGTATGGAATCCTAGAAGGGCCATTGTCGGACTTGGCTCGAGCAAATCGTCTGTCCATCAATTTATATCAAACTTTTCAAAAACTAGCATGCTTGTCTGCTAATTCAGATTCTATGATGGACGATAGTAGAGCAGGTAACGATTATAACGTACAGACAATCTCTGATTCACAGTGCAGGTGTTGCAGCATACAGGTCTCTACTCAACATGGCACCCGTGAAGATCCGGGGTAGAATAGGTCTTCAGCAACCCATGCTTGCCGTAAAAGGCAACTATGCTTGTCGTAAGAGGCGACTTACAGGATCGGGTGGTCAGGCTCGCTGACTTGGTTGATGCATGTCATCGTATCCCAATTGCGTGGATCGATGCTCATGATGTCAATCACAGGATTGTCTGATCCAGATTCGATTATTTACAGACCGTCGTCATACAGCTGGGATATTGCTGAGTGTGGCGTCAAACAACAAACAAACATAACTGAACATGGACTTGGTTCCTCTGTAAGTCAGAAAATATCTTGAAGAAATCATAACGTACAAATTCTTGGAAGATGCTTTAGACACATTTTACGCCTCAGAATCCATGGTGTATTAAGTCTATGTAGTGACTGTTGGTTCTGGGGCCATGAATGTATAGATTAAGTTTATCAGCCGAAAAAGTGAATGACTGCGGCAAACATCCTCACACGTTCAGGTCTGCACAATACACCGTGTCCATTACTCATGCAACATATTTTGTGCACAGCTCATGATTTAGATTCACGTTGTATAATGACATGGTCAACATGCCAATGGCTAACGTATGCAAACGCTTCAAAAGTAGCAAACATTCCCGCCTCACTCCATCGATTATAATTAGGCTTTTGGGCAAGACTTTGCGACAACAGAAAAAAACATGTGAAGCTGTTAACGACAAGATTATTCAAACTGAGGCAGGTGCGTTGAAGAATCGTTATGGACAAAGGGAGATAACCGATACAAACCCCGTTTCTATGTACCCCCTCATACAATTGCACAAACTTGGACATCTCGGTTGCGTTTGAATGTTTGAACTGCAAACATTGGTCTTCAATCAGCACAGTGGCTTCTGCTGTATTGATAAAGTCGATTATGTAAACATTCATAACTAGGTCATGAAGGAATATGCAGAAACGCGCATGAACTTCATTTTTTTTAATGAAGCGGGAAAAGAGAACACCGGATACCCAATTAATAATTTTCTATCAGTTTTTAGAAATATAATAAGGACACATTAAGAAAATGGATTTTCGTATGCATTAGAAAGTGCAGTTGATAATTAAAATATGGATTTTAGTATGTATCAAACCATGGAATACTGCAATTAAAGTTAAAAAGATCCCAATTGTTCGTTTCTGAATTTCTTTTTCTTTCTTTTTTCCATGTTCTTTTAAACTTTCAAATCTATATACCCATATTATACTACAGAGCAAATGCGTCCGAGTTTCTCTTCTGGAAACAGTGAGAGGCACTCTACGTTTTCGCCACGGTCAAAGGGAGATAATCCGACATTTTTGCTCTCACGCTGCGTTTCGCGAAACTAGTACATGTTGTTTGGTGTCGTTTTCCATTACATTAAGCAGGGTGTTATGATTTCATCAGAATACGAGTGTAAATACCCATACATAAACCATGTTTAATTCATACTTAATTTCTTTAGATCAGAAAATATAGTTTTAAACACCTCAATTCGGTTTATTTCGTAGGTGTAGGCCATCGGCCCATAGTTACCCTTGTGTTACAATGGACGTGATGTACACAGATCTTAATGTGCTGACAATAATGTACTACGAAGTGACATCGCTTGATAGATATAGATAGCTAGACGTTTAATTACTTTACAATCAGTTGTAGAGACAATGATATTAAATTTTTGTTTGGTCGGATATTTACAATATTTCTGTGGTAAGTGATCCACCCGTAGCTTGTTTTAACCAGGGCAAACTAACAGAAAATGTTACTCGTCCTCCACATATCCAGCATTACAAACACAACATAGTCTTCTGTCACGTGGGATGTACCAAACGATACCTTGAATAGTGAATATTTATATATAAGAATAGAGAAAGATTTACTACCCTTTTCCAGAAGACTATGCCAATCCTGTTCATAAGTACATTTAAGACGCGACATAAATTCTTTCAAAAACGAATGAGGATGACTTATACACTGGTTTTCCCATACAGAGCCAAAACCCAAACTGAACAATAAAGATTTATATTTTGATACAAAATTAATTTTACCCTTACTTTCTGCCTGAAGCATCACATAATAACATCACTTTGGATAGCGACAATCGCATATACTCAATACCCTTATCCAATAACCAATAACTCTTTTGTATGAATAAAGATATAATGGATACCGCCCACATTCACCTCGAACCATGTTGTTGGGTGTTGACGATTTGACACCTAGAAAGCGCTTGCATGCCAATGTATGTATGGTTTCTATTTCATCATTCTGGTGTAGACCCCAGACGTCGGAACCACAGAGCAAAATTGGTATTATTTTCATATCAAATACTTTAAAACATAAAGGCATGTCGAAGAGGATGTAATTTTATCAATGACTATAAAATTCCAAACATTTCATTTTTGCCCTGTAAACCATCATTAGAGAAATGACTTGACCAGGACAGGCTTCTCGTAAAAGTAACGCCCAAATATATATAGGAAGATACACACTCCAACTTTAGACCCTTATAGTACCAAATCTCTTTTCTTGACAACACTCCACCTTTCTTTAAAACAACCACCTTGGTTTTATCCAAATTGAAAAGAAAAGTCAATTGTCCATGTCTATTAATCCAACAAGGTCTGCATTAGATAAAAAGTTTTAAAAGTTTACGTCGGAAACTCTATTTACCAAACCAGATATATTCCAGAAGAGAAGTTTAGTAGATAATGATTGTTTTGGACATCGACGAGAATTTGCTTGGACTGGACCACACCCCTATTTGCCAGCACTGGCCGTGTTATGACCACCTTGCTCAGTATCATCAGATCTCTCACCACTGTATGCAGCATTCACTGCGTCATGGTTGGAGTCAGTAACAATAAGTACCCATTCTTGAAGTATCCTCGTTTGTTTTGTGCACGTAGTTCTTGTAGCTTATTCCGCTGTCTCTGTGCTGGCGATTCCATACCCTGAACTTTTGATGTCACTACGTCGACTAAGGGGACGTATTTTCCAGTCGATAGTGAGGAATTTGATAATAATTGGCCTTGAATGTGAAGAACGATGCCAAAGTCTGTGCACTTCGGTAATATCATGTGGACGTATCTAAACGATGTCATATGTTGTATTATCCGAGTTTAGAACGTCACAAACATCCTTACAACCAGTTTTGTTTTCATCACATTTTTCCGAAACTCCTAATAAAAAAACATTGTTCTGTCTACTATATTGTTCTAGTCTTTCTACTTCGTCCTGTAACTGTATCAGGGGCGGTCGGGTAGCCTAGTGGTTAAAGAGTTCGCTCGTCACGCCGAAGGCCCGGGTTCAATTCCAGACACGGGTACAATGTGTGAAGCCCATTTCTAGTGTCCCCTGCCGTGATATTGCAGGAATATTGCTAAAAGCGGCGTAAAACCATACTCACTCACTCACTGTAGCTGCATCACTGTAGCTGTCGGTTCTACTGGTATGCTTTGAGTCTGCTCTATTTGGTCCACAAGATGGTTTACTGCCTTAATATCTAAACGTAATATAGCCTGTTCACCCTTTAGGTTTTCAATATTACGCTTAATATTCTTCGACGGTAGCACCGAGTTTGCGAGTTTGGGTTTTAATTTCCCTAATATCACTGCAAGCTCACGTTTCATTGAACGAAGTTCCTGTATAATCTCTGATTTTAAAGCAGTAAGTTCAGAACTGTCAATACCTTTACCATTCGGTCCAGGATTAGTCTCCACGTCCCCCGAAAGTAGAATATGCGAAGCAGGTACTGATGATACAGCTCGCGTTGTACATACAGGTCAGTAACACCATGTAGCAAGGACCCGATATCCTACATCAACATACGGCGACCAATTCGAGTCATGGGAGTAGGGCTCAAGATGGCCGATTTGACGAGTCCTTTGTGGTGCTAAGAAATTACCAATCCTCGCCCTCCAGAGTTCCAAACAGATGCGCATTCTACAGCGGAACTGTTCAGCAACTTTGTGGAAAAAGATTTGTATTGCTATTGTTACAAGGTTGTCAAACATCAGTTGATGTGTAGGGCGCAAATAGATATTCTTTGTTGTTTGTTGTTTAACGCCGCACTCAGCAATATTCCAACTAGATGACGGCGGTCTTTAAATAATTGAGTCTGGACCAGACAATCCAGTGATTGACATCATGAGCATCGACCTCCGCAATTGGGATACGATGACATGCATCAACAAAGTCAGCGATCTTGACCACCCCATCTCGTTAGTAGCCTCTGACGATAAGCATAGGTTTCCATATCTACTTTGTGGTCTATGCCTCGGTTAAGCTAATTCTAGGGCAATTTGATCATGAAATCGACTGATGTGTCGCTTACTTACTGTCCCTGACTATATAGTGAAAAGGTCCGAGACATTCCTCCCTTATCAGGACGACGGGTCGTGACAGAACTGAAATCAAACCCAGCTCACACACCCCAATGCACATGTTGAACATTACTCATGTTTGAGTCCGTTGGCTTCTGTTTCAGCAGAGCGTAAACAAATTACAACTCACAGACTCAGAATCAGATTTCATTTACATCATGGCCTGTCACAATAAAATACCAGCTTAAAGCATGAAGTGAGACAAAGTTATACCAATCTAATACAAATGAAGACATTATACTCCGATTCAGTACCTGCTAATTTGTTTGTTGTTTAACGCCGCACTCAGCAATATTCCAGCTATATGACGGCGGTCTGTAAATAATCCGAGTCTGGACCAGACAATCCAGTGATTGACATCATGAGCATCGATCCACGCAATTGGGATACGATGGCATGCATCAACCAAGTCAGCGAGCCTGACCACCCGATGCCGTTAGTCGCATTTTACGACAGGCATAGTCGCCTTCTACGGCAAGCATGGGTTGCTGAAGACCTATTCTACCCTGGATCTTCAAGGGTCAGTAGCTGCTAACACAATAGCAACTAAATAAACACTTCCTGAATCGATGTGTGATCCTGTGCGGGGATAATAATCCTTGAGCAGGGATAATAATCAATGGCCAATCTCGGATCTGTCCTCATGGGCAGAGAATCCAAACACGACCAAGGTACTCAACTCTGTGCCTCAAACTAATGCATCTGTGACAACTGGGTTATTGATGCCTCAATGGTGTGGAAAACATCACATTTTGGCAGAGTACCTGGTGTGGATACCTTTACAAAACCCAAGTTGTTCCCAAGTATCAAAGGGCATTGGAGCATACTCCCTTGTGCCTGCTGGGTAAATAATGTGACACCAGCACTTGCAGTATCTCGGTGACAAGTCATATCTTTACCAATTTTGCAAAACCAACAGAAATGTCTGTGGGCGGCTAGTCCGAACTGATGACGATTTATAGTGCTAGGCCACTGATACCATGCTGCAGTTTAACCTGAATATCCCACTCAGACACAGTATACTGTTTTAACTCCCTAATGCCGAGCAACAGACAGGGTAACAACAAGAACCATCTTTGAACATCTTTTGGTATCGAACCCCGGACCTTCCGCTCTCCGGGCGGACGCTCAATCACTAGACCACTGAGGCGATCAATGACACATGGGCAATATGCACCAGAAGAAAATCCTCAAGTTGAGCTAGCTGCACATTCAGGCTGTGGCCATATCAAATAGAACCCAAACGTTCACTACAAGCTGCTGGCCCTAGACATTTTGTACAGGGATGTACTGTCACCAGGGCCCACTTGCACAAAGCGATCTTAGCACTAAGACTATTGTAAGCCTATGCTAAAGTATGGGAGTTAAGATCATCTTAGCGCTAAGATCGCTTTGTGCAAGTGGGTCCTGGTCTGGACCAGACAAAACCTGTGGCTGGACAATGACAAGTGTAGATTCATCCCACTGCAAAGAATAACAAAGGAATGAGGTTTCCATGTTTATTGTCCGTCATTTACATGTCTTTATGCGTCAGCAATGGTAACCTCGACCTCCACACCTGGTTCGATGCTGATGGAGGTGATCTGCTTCACAATCTCGGAGGGACTGTGCAGATCGATGATTCGCTTGTGGATCCTCATCTGGTAACGACTCCATGTCTTGGAGCCCTCACCACAGGGGGTCTTCCTGGTGGTGATCCGCAGCACCTTGGTGGGCATGCGCACTGGCCCCTTTACCTTCAGCTGCTTCTCCTTAGCCCCCTTAATGAGGTCAGCACACACTGGAAACAAGCATACAGGGAGTGAGTGAGTTGAGAGTAACACTGCTCATAGTATTTCTGAGTGCAAAACAAACTTTTTTTTATCTTTATACTGCAAATATTGTTGCAAATTCACTCCAAGGTTTTGTTTGTTGTTTAACGCCGCACTCAGCAATATTTCAGCTATATGATAGCGGTCTGTAAATAATCAAGTCTGGACCAGACAATCTTGTGATTGACATGAGCATCAATCCACACAATTGGGATACGATGACATGCGTCATCATCCAAGTCAGCGAGTCTCACCAACCGATCCCGTTAGTCGCCTCTTACAACAAGCATGGGTTGCCCAAGACCTATTCTAGCCCGGATCTTCATGGGTCTCACTCAAAGGTTAACGAACTAAGGACAGGTTAACGAACTAAGGACAGGTTAACAAACTAAGGACATGTTAACCTGTTCAGTTAACCTGCACCAATGGAGTCTTGTCCATGGGAAATCCCACCCTGTTGACAGGTAGTCCCCGATTTTCACTTTTGTTTGTTGTTTAACGCCGCACTCAGCAATATTCCAGCCATATGACGTTGGTCTGTACATAACTGAATCTGGACCAGACAATTCAGTGATTGATATAATCATGAACATCGATCCACACAATGTTAATGAATACAATGACATGCATGAAGAAAGTCAACTAGCCTGACCACCTGATCCCGTTAGTCGCCTCCATGACAAGCAAGGAGGCCTGACGACCAATTCTAACCCGAATCCTCACTAGACTCAGAAGGAGCAGCTATGTGTAATGTACCAGGGATGCAACTCTTCACTGGTCCAAGCCCGTTTGTGTCATGTTCAGATGCTAACAGCCAAATCACTGCACCGGACGCCCTTATCCAATAAGTCGCCTTGTATGACAAGCATAGTTTGGTGGGGACCTCCTCCAACCTGGAATCCCAAAGGTGGCAAATGCCTAACATAATTATAGAAAGAATCCAATACCCTTCTCCAGACTCTTGACATTTCTGCTGGTCAGGGTAATCCGGATTCTGTGAATCGGGGCCTCTTCTGTGGGAGCCTTTGTGTCCTTGTAAGACTGAAATCAAAGACAAAGAAATAATTATCAGATAAAGATCATTCTGGCTGGGAAGGAATACGAGTGTATGAGTGAGTGAGTGAGTTGGGTTTAACGCCGCTTTTAACAGTATTCCAGTTATATCGCGGCATGTCAGCTTAATGTAGGAGAAAAGCCCAAAGTTTTGGGAAGGAATATGATAAGCTACCATAGCAGGGGTAGAGATAAGTTAAATTCAATTTGTTCTCAGCTCATGCGCAGTGCAGCTTTGAAACAAGGTCCTATGGCCCTCACAAATTTAAACAACCATGTGCTTGATTATTTCTTGTTGAAAACATCCAGAGATTTACTTGGGTCTATCTATTTTTAACTCTAGGTGTGTCAGTTGTAACATTTGGGCATACAGGCTGGCAACGTGTCAATTGATTTCCGACAATCTTACAGGCATCTTATCAATCCACATACAGTAAACTTTGGTTGTAACTAACACGCTTATAACAAATGGACAGATATAACGAACTTACTTTTTGGGTCCAGACTATTTGATGTAGTTATGTTGTATGTATGCATATAACAAACTACAGTCATAATGAATTAAAATTAGTAGTCCCTTGGGTTTGTTATAATCTTAGTTTATTATACCAAGAAGCCTCTAGCCTAATATATACTACTGAAAAGAAGTTAAAGAACACCCCATTCTTTCATATTACTACAGTTAATCTGTCTTGGCATGTGAGATTAACTATAGTAATATGAAAGAATTGGGTGTCCTTTAACTTCTTTTCAGTAGTATACATGAGGAGTAATGAAATTAATCTTGTATTCATCGAAATTTTTTCATGCATGGGGCGCAATATATTCATACCCTGAAACAAAGGTGTTTGCTCTAACAAGCATCTCAACCATAAAGATCCACCAGCCTCAGTCTATTGGATTGCATAGCTATTGCACTCGCTTCAAGTTATGAACATAATACATTTCTAGTGTATGACTTTGAAAGTGAACTTGACCTACTCTGCAGAAAAAGACAATTTCATTAAAAAATTATCTTTTACTCCTATACAATAATTCTCGACGTAAAGATTTGAGGATACACTCAAAGGCCGTGTCAGGTGATTTCTGAGCAACAGCTGACAGTTGCATGGGGGCTTGAGAAAATCACATATTGGCTTTCAAATCGATTTGGTTCAAATTATTTACCACCTTGATTCTGAAATTTCAATTTTAACAAAAGGAAACCCGCACACAATACAATTATGCCTTCAATGTTACTCTTTTTTAAAGATGTAAATGGCACAGAAGGCAGAAAAAACATGGTGTTTAAAATATCAACTCCGCTATGAACATTCGGGAAGGTCGCTCAAGTTTCTTTTCAAAATATAAAACTTGCATGCCTGTGTGAATGTTTTGCACACTCATACCAAGAACTTGGAACCCTGGAGCCAACTGGCCGATCAGAAAGTTTACCTCCTATGCTTTGTGGTAACAGAATAAATTATCTGTTTTAAATGCAGGAAAAGGGCATTTTTGTGAAAAAGGCAAACATCTAACACTTCAGCTTGTACGTAAGCAAAGCAACTAACCACCAATTCTGATCACAGTCCGTTCATGAAGATGACATATACTAATAACCTGTTGTAAATTCCTTTTGAGTTAATTGTTAAAAAAAAATTCTTTTGTTCAGGTCTAAGAAAAACAATCCACAGCAAACACAGTCCTACAAGATATGACATCCTTGAGATATCAAGCAGAAGTACTGTGACAGTCAAATTCTGACCCCTTATAGGGCGCCTAGTTCAAATGGTAGTCCAAGCAAACCTAATTTAAGTCGCTAAAAAGCAGCAAAAGAAACAGACTGTTTTAGTTCACTCGTCCTTATAATGATAACATGTAGCTAAACCCTTATTAATGGCAAATTTCTACTAGTCCATATACCTTTACTATGGTTTGGAAAGGGTTATAGGACTAGTGCTAAGGACTAATAGGACTAATCTTGATCCCTTAATATATGTACAGTGTGACTGAGTTAAGTATGGCTCTAGGTCCCTTTCACCAATATTCAAGGAGTCATGGCACGGGACACCAGAATGGCCTTTCGCGCAACGAACAAACGCTTTAACCACTAGGCTACCCCACCCACCATCCATATGTATAGTGTCTCAATTTCTCACCTGGCACTATTTATATCCTAACCTAGACTGAAAATGAACTTGGATTTCAGGCCAAAAACCAAAGGGCTGCTTCTGCTTGATTATCAATCGCATATTCTGATTGTGAACATGAAAACATAGTAGGCCAAGAACTAGTCACGAATATTAGACGAAGTATGATTTATGGTTGGATGGAATGTTGAGTGTTGGATAAACGTGAGTGAAGTATCTTTGTAATATCGTATTATTTTATAAGTAACTTCAAACGGGAATCAAAGCAATGAGCAGGTGCCCGCAACTTAGATCAAGGGAGGCAACCCAAATACCTGTAAACACATTCAGCAAATTGACCACATGGTATTATTTCCAAGTTTATATGCTCTTTTAATTTGAATAACAATCGATTAATACTTTTGAAAATGATCATACCATATTTTATGATAATATCTGGCCGACTTAATCAAAGATTCAAAACTTTGAACAGCGGTGAGCCAGAAACTATTCTGACTGCACGAGGTTCGGAAAGAAAGAGCGAACGCCTGCGCGAACGGAAGTCATTGCGACTGGACTATTGAGAGGGGTGACAGGTTAAACTTGAAGCCGTAAAGAAACTAATAGTCATCTTACATGAGGATGTAGATCCACATGAACTAAATTAACGAGCGTTATTTTACTACAAACCGATGTGTCTTAACATTGCTAAGATTCTTTGGGTTTTTTGTTTCCATCGAGAAACGTATGATGATGCTTACACCCCTATGAATAAGTCTGCAAATAATGTTTGGTTTTCGTACGGGAAAATTACCTTTCATATTTTCCTTTAACACATGTATTTTGAAAAACGTATATCATGCTTGGTAAATAATTTTTCCGATAAGAGAAAATAGTCCTAGAATTTTTTAGAACCAACCAATCGGAAAACCGGTTGCCGTATTATAAGTTATTTTACAACATTTTGCCTTGGCGCAAGAGCAACGTGGAAGATAAGTTAGGTCTAGATTTAATACAGCCTCAAACGTGACGTCACGGGGTCCACGTTTGTAGCAAGATGGCGGCGCTGGTAAGTTGGTTGTTAGGTTGTTGAAACTGTTTATTTTCATGACTGGGCGGAATATTACCTATTCGATGGCTATGTTAACAGTAAATGGAGAGTTTAGGGCTTGAGTGCACCTTTTCTTTTGGTTGAAACGGCGAAGGTACCGTAGTTAGATTCTGATATGCCAAGTCGGAAGTCTCGAGACATCCTCGAATTGTATTCGATTCGTGTCAAAGCCGGTCTCGGGGCGGTTTTATTTCTGTTACTGTATCGCTAGATCATGTTTGTCATTTTATATTATAGTTCTCATATGTAATCCGTGATGCTGTTCGCGTTTAAATGTCAATGGCTGTCACCTCTGTTTGCTGTTTTTGTGTGTCTCACTGTCAGACTCTGCCTAATAGGCCTACTGAGGTTTTGTGAGTAGGTGTATATCTATAAGATCTAGTGACTAAACAGATGCTACACAGATCAAGTTGATATTAGAAATATCTGTTGTAGCTATGTCATTGATTTTCACAATCGATCAAACTACTGGCACTATTGCACTTACCTGGACATGCTGGAAGCAATGACAGATTCCAATTAGCACGATGAATTGGTTTGGTTGGTTTTGTGGTTTAACGTCGCACTCAGCTATATGACGGCGGTGTGTAAATAATCATGTCTGGACCAGACAGTGATCGATATCATGAGCATTGATCCATACAATTGGCATGCATCAACCAAGTCAGCGAGCCTGACCTCCCGATCCCGTTACTTGCCTCTTATGACAAGCATAGTCACCTTTTATGTCAAGCATGGGTTGCTGAAGACCTATTCTACCCAAGATCTTCACAGGGATAACACGATGAAGACACAAGACTATCAAACATGCATTGCATCGTTAGAATTTGCACTGGACGTGTAGTCCTTGCCAAAGTGCCCAATTGTTAAGGTTATACAAATTTCATTTTTTGTTATCCCTGGTATGGCACTGAAAAAAATTATTCATTGAGATTAAGAAGAAATGCTTTTATCAAGTTCAACGTCTGCCAACAGATGCAGTCCAACATCCAACATGCTTATCCATCATCATAATCATGTCCATAATGCTATGTGGTATAGATTTACTGATATATTCAGTGCAAATTTAGGTTTTAAACTCATATTTTGGGAAGAAATGATGGCCAGATGGTAAGCAATTACAGAACTAAGTTTACATCATGATGTACTTGGATTTATATTTATGCGTGAATTTGTCCCATGACATCCCTGTGTGTCTTTTCTAACGTTACATTTGAGCAGGGCACTTGTCTGATATGTGTTATTAATATTACCTACAAGAACTAATTTTGCTCATCTTTTTCGGATAAATATTTCTCTCTTCTAATGAAAATTAACAAAAGTAGAACAAATAAAAATTAAGCTTGGATCAATATACCAGGAGACCGGTACACATCAGTTTTTGATACCAATATAATATATCAATACAGTCTTGGCTAGCATTGGATAACTAAACATCATTTTACAAACACCATAAGTATCTTTGTGTTTTGGGGTTTTCATGCTCAGAAGAGAACTTTTTCTGATTATGTTTCTAATAACAATCCCAATACACTAAAATTAGGTCTTACCTTTGAGAGCATTTACTATGTCAACACTTGCATGGCCAAACGACCATGTTTTGTTAATTATTTTAGTCGTGATGCCTCGTGAGACAGGTCGATCAGGCGCTATCTTGTTACTTTTACATGATTTCAAGACCATCCATATAAGTTAAGTTAAAAATAGATGCACAACATTGTCAGTCACATAACATTAAAGACAGGAAGTTTACAAACAGCAGCCGATATATCTTGGTGCATACGATTGTTCTGATGCAAGATTAACATCAGATCCATTTTGATTAAAAGGTGAAAAAGTAGATACTTTTTTAATGTGAAGTTCACTGATAAGTAGCCTTTCCATTGGATGGGAAGCCAGTCACATGAACTCCACCAACCTGATGAAGATACACACAGGGCTTGAAAAGGTCTTGAATTTTAGGGATTGTCTTAAAAAGGCCTTAGATCAGTATTGCCTTAAAAAGGGCTCGACAATAAACAACATCATCAACATGACTTGAAAAGACGTGGATTACGGCCTTACTATGCATCAATGGTTTTTTTTTGCAATTTATATGTAAAAAAAATACAAACAAGTGAATTTTGAACGTTCTATAGAATGAATGTAATTGCAGTCTGGGATGAGTTACCTCCATATGTTATGACAGAACATGGAATGTTTGTATTTTGTATTTGATTTATTTGCCTTGTATTTGACTTAAAGTACCTTGAATTTGTTGAGGACAATTCTGTACCAACCCTGCAGATAATTCTGTACCAACCCTGCAGATATTCATAAGTATGTTAACATCAAATTGTGTCATTCATACGTTTTTCATAAGACTGTTTTCTTGAAATGATGTGAACACTAACCAACTACTTTCACATTCCTGGGAAAACCCTGGTAATTCCCTGCATGTTTAAATACAGAAGCTTTGGTTCTGATCATTAGACTCTTTTTCTTGAACTCAGCATTTTAGCATACACTATGACCCATCTTTGTGAATGAAAAATAAGAAATGCACATCCAAACAATCAACTCGATCAGTGTCGAGACTGACAGTGACAGTCTGCAGCAATCTGTGAATTTACCTCAACTATGCATGTCGTATAAGGCGACTATACTTGTCGTTAAGGGTGACTAACAGGGTCGGGTGGTCAGGCTCGCTGTCTTGGTTGATGCATGTCATCGATCCCAATTGCGTGGATTGATGCTCATGATGTCAATCACTGGATTGTCTGGTCCAGACTCGATTATTTATAGACCACCGTCATATAGCTGGAATATTGCTGAGTGCGGCGTTAAACTACAAACAAAACAACAAGCCTGACCACCCGTTCCTGTTAGTCTCTTGTGACAAGCATATGTACTTCATGTAAATGCATTACTAAGCGCTGTCACTGTGAGTGACTTACTGAGATAGTTCAGAGACCTTTCTCATCTTATATTTGAATTTACTTACTGAAAAGCAATTTGAGCAGACATACGCTCATGTCAGCCCTCCTTTTGAGGAACTATTTTATTCAACATTACAGCTGGTTGTTGTATAGCTGTCAGCATAAAATGAAGTCACACATACTAAATGAAATTGTGTAATACTTCCTTCAAGGTGTAAAATAGTGATATAAAAATGATAAGAATTGACATTCACTTTGTGTGTGTTCATTGGAGTTTGACCCTGCACAAAGTCAGGATATGACCCCCTCAAGGGTGATAGGAGTTTCAATGCTTGAGGCAGAAGCTGAGGGCATTGTGTCATCAAAAAGGGGGCACTGACCTACTTACAGTATGTTACACTTCATGGGCTTCAAACATGATGCACTCTACACACTAATTCAAATACCTGCACCAAAGCTTACCGGTACTCTCCTCCCATCTTAAGCAAATCGTCCAACCTTGGCGCATGCATTTACAGGGTAGTAACAGAAAACAATGACCTGCTGAAATAATAGACATGACACACCCTAGTGGTGTAAATTATGATAAATAAGCCTGACCCGTTCACTATAGCTGACTTTTGACAAGCAACTGGAGATCTATAAAGCAAAACTTAATTGGTGAACTTGAGTCAATTAAGCCAACAATGGCTTGAGGTCACTTGTACCCTGTGGCCTTGTGAAATTCATTGTCCTGAGGCTGGATAGAAATTAACCAAGAATGTCTATTAGCCCGAATTGAGATGACATGTAGCAGTCCTCCTGAAAATGTGTGAAAGCCTACAAGCCCTTGGGATACCTTCAACATCAACAAAACTGGACCGGCCAGTGCTGATTTCTATCCCTGTAAGGTTAAGTGTCTTGATGCGCTGGTGATGCTGGAAGTATGGTGAATTGTTACAACCCTTTTCTTTTTTAGCCCACCACTGTCATGCTCGTGAGAAGAGACCAGTAGATCTAACCTAAAACATTTTCTTACTTCCAGAGCATGTCTGTAGGGAGAGCAGTAGTCTTCCTATTGGCCATATCTTCTGTTGCAAGTTTCTATGTGCCCGGTGTTGCACCGGTCGAGTTCAGGAAAGGAGATGTTGTCGATGTCAAGGTAATGCTTTCAGAACAAGTTGACCATTATTTACAATACACATCATTAACATTTTTAAGCAATTGCCAAATGGGTACTGCAGAATTTTAGTAGAATTGTACATGTTGTAACTTGTATGAACTATGATTTTGAGGTCAGTTTGGTTCATGAATCACTGTAGGATTGTAGGAAGGGAAATTAACCAACATCTGTAACCAATGTTACTTTTGGATTAGAAAATGTTTGAAAGAATGTATATATATACAAAGAGCAAAGAATTATCTCACTTATGTTTGTTTGGGTATTTAGATGATGATAATTTTGTTTTATATGTTTTTAGTGATTAGAAATCTAAATGAACCAAGTTTCTGTGTGTGATACAAAGTGCCTTTCTAAAAATGACAAGAATTGACAGTGATTACAAGACTTTGCAAGTCAACATTCATAGGAACATGTGCCTTTATTTCAACATTATAAATCTATGTGGAAATGTGTGTATAAACTTTGTACAGAAAATCTGTGCTGAAGATTTAATGTTCAACAAAACAAAAACCTTAATATGGCAGGAAATTTAGTGCTAAGATCGGTTTGTGAAACGAGCCCCAGGGTGCCATTGTCCAAGCATGCCTTAACATAGACTTACAACAGTCATAGCACTAAGGTTGTTTTGAGCAATGACACCCAGCTTAGCCTGTTAAAGACCCTTTCCATATTCCTAAGTGTTCTTGTCAGTTCAGTCAGTGTCCTGTTCTGTGTTTAACCGACTCCATGTGCTGATTCCAGGCAGTGAAGCTGACCAGTGTGAGGACTCAGCTGCCATATGAGTACTATTCCCTGTCATTCTGTCCTCCACCTAATGGCATCAATCACAAGGCAGAGAACCTGGGTAAGTTGTAAGAAAATAGTTTGTGTATGCACAGTTTATAGTGTGTGAGTGTGGTTTTATGCCGCTTTAAGCAATATTCCAGCAACGTTGCGGCCAGGGACACCAGAAATGGGCTTCACACTTTGTGCCCATATGGGGAATTGAACCCATGCTTTCGGTGTGACAAGTGAACGCTTTAAAACCATTAGGCTACCCCACTGCCCCGCACTGTTTATACATAAACCTAGCGTTAAGGGTTAGAGATTAATGGGTCCCAGGGCATCCCTTAATTTCAAACACTGTTGTTAATTGCGTGAGAGACGTTGGGGTATCCTAGTGGTTAAAGCTTTCACATCACATGTTGAAGTCCTGATGTCAATTTCTTGTGTCCCCTGCTGGGATATTGCTGGAATAATGCTGGAATAATGCTGAAAGCAGGGTAAATCCATAATCGCTCACTCATTGTTAATGGCATGTGCAGCGATCCATGGTGGCAGCATGTGTCGATAAGTAGCTGTTTAAACCTCACTCACTCACTCACTCACTCACTCACTCACTCACTCACTCACTCACTCACTCACTCACTCACTCACTCACTCACTCACTCACTCACTCACTCACTCACTCACTCACTCACTCACTCATCTCATCTCATCTCACTCATCTCAACATGATGCTCACTTTAAGAGCGGGGCAGTCGGGTAGCCTAGTGATTAAAGCCTTCGCTCGTCACGCCGAGGAGCCGGGTACAATTCCTGACATGAGTACAATGTGTGAAGCCCATTTCTGGTGTCCTCGCCGTGATATTGCTGGAATAAAAGCTGCGTAAAACCGTTCTCACTCATCTAAAGAGACAGACCATCTTGTGTAGAGTTGCCTCCCTTAGGTGTGCCAGTATCCAATGATTGTTATCATTGAGGGCACCAACGGTTCAAATGATTCTATGACTTCAAACTAATTGTGCTCTTGAGTTGAACTCCTGGGTTTAATGAGAGTATTCATAATTTTATGTCATCTGCGTGATCAGTTTGAGCATATTATGTAATTTGTTGTTTTATCTGTTGTTCAGGTGAGGTCTTGCGAGGAGATCGTATCGTCAACACACCATACAGAGTATGTATTAGTTGGTCTAGTGGTTGTTGTTATTGATCTAGTAATTAGCCACTTGTTATCCCCCGCCACGAAGTGGAAGGGGGGATATAGGAATGGGTGCTCTCCGTCCATCGTTTTGTTTCCAGAGCAGAACTAAAAAAACATGAGAGATATCTTAACCAAACTTGGCACATAGATAGGTCTAGTGGTAACTGGTGCCTTTTGATATGGTGTCATGCTTGTTTTATTTGTTCTGCATGACTTCAAATGTTGATCCTTTATGCAAATGTATAGAAGATAGAAAAGGAAGTCATTATGGGCTGAGTTTGTTGGACATGCTGCAGTGAGACATTATCATGATTATTATGTTCTGTGATAATATTTCTCCTCAGGTAAACATGGCCCAGAATATCTCCTGCGAGACACTGTGCAACCACCCTACCAGTCCATCCAAACCGATGCAGATAAGTCAGAATGGTGCAGCCGATTTCATTGACAAGATCAAACATGACTACTTTGTCCATCTGTAAGTAACACATGGATTTACTTCACTATACCATGGGGTCTTGTTATTTACAATCTGCCGTGATATGGCAGGAATAGTCGGGGCTGCAGGAAACGAACACTATCAACAAAATCCTTAGAAGGAATTTTAACATCATGTCTCAATCCCCGACTTCAGCCACTCATCTGAAGCCTGAGGCGAGCGAAAGTCTGATGAGTTGAGCTCAGCTAATATCAGCCCATATGATAACGCTAAGATCTAGTGAGGTCATGTTAAGAGCCATGTTCGGGCTATTAGACTCAAATGTTTTTGACACATTCTGATCTCTTGTTATTACATCACTGTGAATAGCTGCAAGATGGCTGATGCGACGTTAAGCAATAATCAGTAATCACTTTTTGTTATTACATGTACGGTAAACTACGTTTATAACGAACTGACGGATATAACGAACTGTGTTTTTTGGCCCCAGGCCTTAACTTAATTTAGTGGTCCCTTTGAGTTCGTTATAACCGTAGTTTACTGTGTTTGATTTCAGAAATACATTTGACCATGTTCACATATGCTATCATTGGTGATTCCAGTTGATTTTGATGTCTGGATAGTTCACAAAGTTTATCTTGTCCAGCATTATATCATTTCAGCTCAGGGATGTTATAGCCACACCCTGTTCAAATTCTCCTTCTGCATAAGTCTTTGTTTGACAAACCAGTGAGATTGTCCTGCCATATCTGGCAATGTTTGATCTTGTAATAGATTAACTTTGTTATCATTACAGAATTGTTGATAATCTGCCGTGCGCAACCAAATTTGAACTGCTTGACAGCAAAGAAGTCCAGTACGAGCATGGCTACAAACTTGGATATGAGACTGGAAATGAGGTAATTACATTACCCCATAATACATACACTACTCAGAGAAGTTAGGGACCACCGATTCTTTCGTATTACTGTCATGCATGACAGATTAACTGTAGTATTATGAAAAAAATCGGGCGTTCTTTAACTTCTTTGGAGTAGTATATGTATATGTCAAATAAATACATTGTAATACATCAGCTGATTACTGAATAGAACCCGTCAGATCTGGACTAGAATAGGTCTTCAGCAACCCATGCTTGCTGTAAAAGGCAACAATGCTTGTCGTACGAGGCGACTTACGGGATCGGATGGTCAGACTTGACTTGGTTGATGCATGTCATCATATCCCAATTGCGTAGACTGATGCTCATGATGTCAATCACTGGATTGTCTAGTCCAGACTTGATTATTTACAGACCGCCTTTATACAGCTGAAATATTGCTGTGTGCGGCGTTAAACAACAAACCAACAAAACTGACTAAATAAACGGAATGATTTGTATTGCATTCTGTTGAAAGAGCATTACTGCATTTTGGGGGGAAATTCCTATGTTCATGGATGGTGCTGTTTTGTAGGTGTACCTCAACAACCATCTGCGACTTATCCTCAAGTTCCACACTGATGATGAGTAAGTAGCCTTCTCTGTAGCCACTGTCAGACAGGTTCATTATGTTGGGAGGGGCCACTTGTGTACTCGTGTCCTTTAGGCGTGCCAGAGTCGGATGATTGTGGGTTTGAGTCCCAGCTTTGCTCTGTGTATGAGTCTAGGGCACCATTCCCTGCTCAGGTGTTTCATCAGACCTGCACTGCTTTCCTCCTGCACTGAGCAGACAGCTGTGATAGTGACTGAAACCCCCTGTGTGTATGGACAATAACTTGATAAATACTGATAAATATTGATAAATATTGGTAAATACAGATAAATATTGATAAATACTGATAAATACTGATAAATACTGATAAATGTTGATAAATATTGATAAATGTTGATAAATGTTGATAAATATTGATAAATATTGGTAAATATTGGTAAATACAGATAAATACAGATAAATACAGATAAATATTGATAAATATTGATAAATACTGATAAATACGGCTAGATTTGGTGTCTAGAACTCTCAGGAGCCTGAGTAAGGTATGCCTTTGTTAATCATGGTAAGTGGATAACATAAATTTTCAAAGTAGTTTTTTTGTTATCACTATTCATACTAGTTTATAACTTTTGTGTTCGGATGTTGATGTCAGTGTTGTGAAAAGTGGACTCTCTTCTTTTTCAGCATCGTATTCAGAGTGGTTGCATTTGAAGTGGAACCACGGAGGTAAGAAACGAATAACTCCACTTGATGTCTGCATGGAAACAAAGCTAACACACAGATTCCATCGTGGGTCATTGCCTCCCTTAACCATGCCAGGATCCTCTGAATGGTTGAATCCCAGATTCACCTTGATATTGATCCTTGGTCTGTCAACACAACTTGTGCTCATGGGTTTCACCAATAATAATATGACTGTACTTATTTTGCGCTAGCCCTCATACAGTGGGTTCATGCTCAAAGTGCTACCCAAGGACAATAACAATACATTTAAATAGCACCTGTAAGCAGGCACTTACATTGAAAGTATTTACAGAAACATAAAGTGATGTGGCATGTGCCTCAAGAGAGTTCATACACTTACATGTCTGCCTCATGCAAGTCTTATTTTTAGTTGTGATTGAAAAGATTCAAAGATATATTTAAATAGGAAGAATATACCACAGAGGATGGCCAGTTGTGCTGCACGATCTGTATCCATAGCCTTTGAGGTTTTATTGTGGAACAGACTGCCTTTGTGGTCAAGTAGGAGAGCGTGCTCCTGGAGACCGGAGGGTTCGGGGTTCAATCCCTGGTCGCGTCATTCCAAAAGACAAAAAGATGGTACTTGTTGTTACCATGTCTGGCGCTTGGCATTAAGGGGCTAAAACAAGGGCTGGTCGGCTCGAGTCAGTATACTGTGTCTGAGTGCTGTAATCATATCTCATTGGGCTAGCATTATAAAATTGGCATTAGTCCAGACTAGTACAAGCGCATACACGCCCACATGTCGTTATATAAGCCAATAATCTTGGACGCAATGTTAAACCCCATTTCACCTTATTGTGGAACAGACAGTCGGTTTACACCATCTGATCATTGTGGCTTGTATCGATTGATAGGTAAGGTATGCTATTGTCAGGTCTTCTTCACACTTATTAGAGGGTCCTGATAGGTGGGTCCCATAAGCAGTAAAATTAAGGGTACTTTTTCATTAAGCAGTAATTTTTCTTCTTTTTCAATAAAATCGTCGCGAAAAATTCCTAAATCGGCCAAGGAGGGACATGGGACTTTTAATTCTGCTTTCGTTTCATCCTGACAATTCATATTTTTAATACCTGGTATAATCTGATTATCTCAAATCGCTAAACATTCTAGACTGGTCCCCTGCGTCAGTGACTTTCCTCCCTAAACTAACTGACCCACCGTGTCAAAATGTTCAAGTGTTGTGAGCAAGGTTCTCATTGGTCATCGGTCAAGTAGAGGGACTGTATTGTGATAAGATGGTTGGTTACTAACAGCACCAATACTTGATCAGGTTTCATATCCCTGACCTTGGACTTTGCTTACTTTGGTTAGTTTATTACCAGTGCTAACCCTTTATGTATTGAGATATTCCCTATCACTTGTACCTCTGTGATTTCAGTATCAACAATGGAGAACTAACTGTTGATGAGAAGGGTGTTTGTAAGCAGAAGAACCTTGACAGAAAACCTGCCCCCCAGAAAATCAACACCCAAGGTAGGTTTTCACTGTATGGTTTCACTGTTGAAGTAGCTTATAACATGGTTTCACCGTGGAAGTAGGTTATAAAATGGTTTCACCATGGAAGTAGGTTATGACCTATTGTTTCACTATGGAAGTAGGTTATAACATTGTTTTGCAGTGGAAATAGGTTATAACCAAATTATTTCACCATGGAAGTAGGTTTTAACCACATGTTTCACCCATATTTGTTGTCATTAGAGGCAACTAACGGGATCGGGTGGTCAGACTCGCTGACTTGGTAGATGCATGTCATCGTATCCCAATTGCATGGATCAATGCTCATGATGTCTATCACTGAATTGTCTGGTCCAGACTCGATTATTTACAGACCACTGTCATAAAGCTAGAATATTGCATTGTGCAGCATTAAACAACAAACAAACATAAATCTGGCCAAAAAGTAGTAGCTGAAATTACCTACTAGTATGTCACACCAGCAGATGCAAGGGATATCAGCAGAATTAAATGTCCTCAACAGTCAACACTGGAGCACCACATTTGTTTATGATCAGATACTTAGTTGATTTTGTAAGAATGCAGTGTCAACGAAATATTCATTTTACAATGAATTTGAAAAGCACTTAATACACAATAACCAGAACCATGTCTGATTGAAACAGCTGATTTAACCTCCTCATCACTGCGGAAGGTTATATTTATAGGAAAATACTTCTTTTTCAGTTATTGTCGGTAGGCATTTTGAAATACTGAAAAGTACAATAATAGGATTCAAAAGTTGCGCCGACTTCTAGCATGTGCGGCCATATATTTTTGGCATTTGACAATAATTTACACAGGAATTGTATGTAAAAAGACAGTATTTAAGCATATACACCACCATACTTTGTTGAAAGGCTATTGTTGTTGTTTCCTTTAAAAAAATCAACAACATATTGGAAATAGTTGACTATCCCATGCTGCTTCAATTAATATCTTCACGAGCACCAGCGAGTTTTATTTTCGTCAGAATGGAGATAAATGTACTGTGTTTTCAATGCATTTTGAGTCCGAAGTTCAATTTGGCACTGTTAAATCTCCAAATGACCTTGCTTTACATTGAGAAAACACAGAATGTTTATCTCCTAAATAAGTCGCATTGCTTTATGCTTTTCATCTGTTACATCTTCCCGAGGCAAGGGAGTTAACTGACTTTAAAAGTCCAGTTTCCACCCTTGCCGAACTAGGCTTTAATTACTGGGCTTGATCGTAGCGCCACCAGTGGCTATTACCAGTTATGTCCTTTCTAAGCCTCTCCTATGGACCAATCTCACACCACTTGCATTTGCTTCACACAAAATGGTGGTGCCCGGTCAGGACTATCTGATGGATAATCATGATATATATTGTGATAAAACGGGTCTAACATCGCGAAATGCATCAAATCACGTGAGCACCTTGATTAAAAACATGAAAAGATTTGGAAAATATCTGCTGACAACGAGTTGGCGGAGCACATGCTTTGCAAATCCTGCAATCGACCTAAATCTGCATGATAGTTAACAAACCGGATTTTGATTTCGGTGCACGAGTTTGATTTGACTATGCATAGACTTGTTAGTCCAGCCAAAATGTAACTCCATAATACCAGCCTAGTTCAGCAATGGGGGAAACTGGACTTTTATGGTCAGTTAACTCTCTTTCCTCGGGAAGATGCATCTGTTACCGATAACTGAGAATAAGATCAAAATAGTGGTTGTGTGATAAGCCAACGTTTGTTGGATATTTCTGCACATAAAAAGAATCGGTCCCAGCAGATGCAACCATAGTTGAAGTAGGGCTTTGTGTCAATCATTAACAGCTGTTGGCATGGTGGTATCACCGATCTGAGTTGCAACAGATGTTGCCATTTGTGTGCTATGTCAATAATTTCATCAAATTTGTTCATCACTTTTGTATTTGATATTTTTTATTGCTTCCGGAGCAGATCTTGAAAAACACAATATTTCTTCACCGAACTTGGCACATAGATAGGTCTAGCGGTGAACTGGTGCCTTTTGATAGTTTGTGACTTAAGGAAAGTTTATTTTTTTGAATTTCCATGGCAACAGTATATATACATAACTAGTTGACATATTCCCCGCAAGTCTTTTACCATTGGGGAGGATATCGATGACTTTATTTTCTGTTGATATCTAAACCTCACCAGAATAATTGATTGCTAGTTAAGCCAAATTTTAATACTGGGTATTGCCATTTCTATACCATTACCGGTCCACTTTAAAGGTCACCTGACTGGACCAATGAAAATGAGTAGGTGCCTCACTCTGGCAGTGTGGGTTCAAATAAGCCGCCTTATAAAAAAAATGGATATGTTGAATACTGAGAAAATTGTGGGAGCAGGAGAATGGGTAAATGCTCCTCACACTTTGATTCCCCACATGGTTATGACATAACAGGGTTGGAATTTAACCAAGAGCGTCAACGATCCGGAATAGTGATATCATATACAAGAGTGGATGAAATTTCTTTTATACTTGTATTTAAAAGTATACGCCTGTCACTTAGATTTCCTCTCAGTGATTGCCATGATTGAAATGGTAAAGACGAACAAACTAAGATTTATTTTATATCCTTCGTTATTACGCTTTCTAAACAATGAAGTTTCAATGGGTTTTTTTTTTAGGTGTCACGGTTACTCAAGTCTGGATTAAATACTGGAAGCCATCTGGGCAAGCGGTACACCAAGGAGTGTTTTGTCCAGGAATCACTGTATTACTAAAAGTAGTAAAATCCATACTCGCTTACTGTTGCAGGTGTGACGGACGTGGTGTTCACGTACGAGGTGAACTGGGTGAGGAGTGAAATTCGCTGGGCCTCCCGCTGGGACACCTACTTGTCCATGAGTGATGTCCAGATTCATTGGTTCTCCATCGTCAACTCCGTCGTTGTCGTCTTCTTCCTCTCAGGTGAGCCATCTAACTTCTTGAGCTGGACCATGTTTTATTTGCATCCTTTATTACGCCAGGGCTGGCATTTCGGTAAACCTACACTATCCCCTGGATCCATTCCCGTGGTTCTTGTGACCACCTCCGTGGTCTAGTGATGGAGCGTCCGCCCAGAGAGCAGAAGGTTCCGGGGTTCAATCCCTGGCCGCCTCATACCAAAAGACGTTAAAAGATGGTACTTGTTGTTACCCTGGCTAAAATAAGGACTGGTCGGCTCGGAGTCAGTATACTGTGTCTGAGTGGGGTATTCATGTTAAACTGCGGCATGGTATCTCAGTGAGCTAGCACTTTAAATCGGCATCAGTCTGGACTAGTACAAGCAGCCACCAACACACATATGTGCATCCACGTCGCTATATAAGTGCAATAATCTTGGACGCGACGTTAAATCCAATTTCAGCTCACCTCACCTCTCGGAGAATTTGCATGTTGGCATGGTTACATAACCACTCAACGACGTAATGAAGATTGGGATGTTTTTCACTTCCAGGTATCCTGACAATGATCATGGTTCGCACCCTACGCCGGGATATTGCCAAATACAATAAAGACGAGGATGTGGTAAGCTATCTCTACAGTATCTCAGCTCCAGATAACTTTTTAAGCAATATGAAATAATGTTTTAGATGTATATAACTGTTGGAAATATATAGGTTTGACTCTAAAAGTAAATTAGTTCGTAATTGTGTGTTCAGAAACAAGCTCCTTTGTACACATGCTGAAAAAGCGTCATTGGGTATTTACAAAAGCTGTTTGTGTACATTCAAGTTTTCATTTAATGCAGGCCTTTCTGTACGCAAGTACCGTATTCGACGTAATAAGCGCCCACGGCGATATTTGTTAATATACTTGCTAGTGAACAATCCTAATTAGCACCCCTTCCGATTGATAAATGTACACAAGGCTGTTTATTCGTGCATAATATGTTTGTTATATGCACCCTTAATTAGGGGCAATTAAATTCTGGATAAATATATCTGTCGTTTATAAACATTTCAGCATAAACCCCGAAACTTACGCTCTTTGAACTCTGTTGTTTTTCACCAAAATAATATTCTAATAAGAGCCCCCTATTTCTAATTTTGAGAGCGCCCTGGGCGCTTATAACGTCGAATATGGTATTTGAGTTTAAAATTAAAATTAAATCATGGTGTCTGCACCATAACCCAGATTGATTCAGATACTTTAGGAACAAACCTCAAGACCTGTTAATATCAAACACTACAATTTCTCAAGCTTGTTTGTGAAGAAAACACCTAACACATAATCTCAGATGCTATTGGGCCATTACCTCCCTTTGCCCTGCAAGGATCTGCTGATGTGGGGTTCTGATCAGATTTTCAATGAGTGTGACCCTTGTCAGCATTATGACTGTGCTGGTGTTGGTTCTTTCACCAATGGGGTAAATACACCCACATTAACAGACATGTGGAAAGCAGCATATACCTCCAACTCAATTACTCACTCAACTTGCTGATATAGCATCCAGACTGTGTTGATGTGACATGTTACCCTGATACCAGTGATAAAGCAATTGATTTTCATACTCTCTAATTATGGTTTGTCTACAGATTATGCTCTTCTATTACGCATTGATGTTGCCATTTTCGCTGAAAGCAGCATAAAATCTCACTTGCTAAAATAAGTTGAACCATTTTCAGGATGAGACTATCGAAGAAACGGGTTGGAAGCTTGTCCATGGTGACGTGTTCCGGCCTCCACGGAAGTCGAAGATCCTTGCAGCTCTGGTCGGCTCTGGCATGCAGATCTTCTTCATGGCTCTCATAACTATATGTAAGTTGGGAAGTAGTGTCCTTCCAAAACTTGTCATTCCCATGGGTTATTGTAGATATCTGCAGCCTGCTTGGAAAACCTCTGCCTTGAATTTGTGCTGGATCTTATTTTAGTCTACAAAAGTTAGTTACGTTTCAAAACTTCCAGTGTAGTTTAAAATTTGGTTTGAGTCTATGAGCATATATGCAATGGTGTTAGAATACAAAGCCATTTTTTTCATTTAACTGAGAACATAAGCCTTTGATGTAAAAACATGTTGAAATGTTTGTGTAAATGATGTTAAGGTTAGATGATTGTAGGTGTGATGTATTGTTACAGTTTTCGCCATGCTGGGGATGTTGTCTCCGGCTTCAAGAGGAGCTCTCATGACTGCTGCCATCTTCTTGTTCATGTTCTCCGGGTCAGTGTGGTTTGTTTCTGTACTCTGTCTGAAATAACTGCCTAACTTTTCTGTCGGGCTGCATGAAATTTTCCTCCACCTGCCCGACTGTCTGGCGGATAATTTTAAGACTACTTACGATACAGTTTTATTATAACTCCTCGTAGATTATCAAGTAATTGTTTGCAATATTTCAACTGAATCGACATATGTCTGAATGCAGGCAAGTATCTTTGAAGATGTTCAATCAACAGTTATGGATCACCTGCCTGACTGTCTTGTTGGGTCTTAAAATTATTACAAACACTTAACATGGGTACAACAGAGTCTATCACCACAGAACAGTGTAAAGTGTCTTAAACAAGACTGCGGTCTAGTGGTAGAACATCCGCCTGGAGAGCGGAATGTCCAGGGTTTGATTCCCGGCCGTGTCATACCAAAAGACGTTACATGGTACTTGTTGTTACCCTGTCTGGCGGTCAGCATTAATAGGCTAAAAACAAGGACTGGTCGGCTCGGAGTCAGAATACTGTGTCTGAGTGGGGTATTCATGTTAAACTGGTGCATGGTATCTCAGTGAGATAGCACTATAAATCAGCATCAGACTAGTACAAGCGCGCCAGCATGCATGCACGCATGCACGTCACTACATAAGTGCAATAATCTTGGACGGGACGTTAAACGCCATTTCACCTCAACTCACCTTAAACATTGTATCCAACACCCCATTTCACCTCAACTCACCTTAAACAATGTATCCAACTGTGATGTCCAGTGGCTGCTGATGGGGCCCTGCCAGGGCTATGGTGATCCACCGTATAGGCAAACATTGTGAAATTTGACAGAAATGTTCTGATATGATTCCTGGGTATATTTTGCTGTATTCAGTGATCTGTAGGAATAATTGGAGAAAACACAAAACACATCAAATGCACTTTAATCTAGTAAACTGACGATAACATGAAACTCCAGGGATATACTGTGAGAAAACAATACAACACATGTCCTAGGTTCACTGTGTTCATGGGGGGGGGCGGTCAGGTAGCCTAGTGGTAAAAGCGTTCACTTGTCACACCGAAGACCCGGGTACGATTCCCGACAAGGGTACAATGTGTGAAGCCCATTTCTGGTGTCCCCTGTCGTGATGTTGCTGAAATATTGCTAAACACGGCGTAAAATCACTCACACACCTTGTATACATGTAAGATTAAATTTTAATACATGATCCAATCGTACTGGTACGTCACTCGTATTTTGAGACAGCTACTTCATTGAACTGTTACTGCCCTAGAACTGGCTAATGTACTGTAAAGACCTTCTCACAGATGACTCAGTGCCTAACCACAAGCAAGGTGGTACCATGGAGCTTGTTGAGCCCACTAAAATTACCAAAGCCGTCCTAATGTTTAAGCATAAGTTTTTTAGAAGGTGTACGCATCCTTTTTTTGTGATTGTACTCCTTGGTGCATTCTTCCCAACATTTCCTATATTTACATGTAGAATATATTCTTCAACTTTCACTTCTTTGTTTTTCAGTTTATTTGCTGGCTATTTCTCAGCCCGCATCTACAAAACCTTGAAAGGTCTCCAGTGGAAACAGGCTGCGTTACAAGTAAGTAGATATATGATACTGGTGGTGGTTTAAGTTATCAGTTGAGCCAAATAGTATGAGGTTCAGATGGTTACATATGTTATTGATTATCCAGTGTATTATAGCCCCTTTCTATGACAACAAATATGCACATGCAGCAGTAGACACTAGCATTTTTAGTCCACTAGTCCTTTTAATAATAACATGACAGAACCCTTAAAAATAGCAAATTTCTACAAGTCTACTATTGGGCAGTTTGGCAAGTACTATGGCACTAGTGCTAATGTCTAACGCTGACCTGTGTAATTTGTGAACAGCCATTTTTAGCATTGTACAACATATATCACCCCAATTATTTACGGAAGCCAAGAATATATTCCCTCTCAGCCTGAGGTCAACTAATACTGGTTTCTCTTCAGACTGGCCTGCTGTTCCCTGGAGTTGTGTTTGGTATTTGTTTTCTCCTCAACTTCTTCATCTGGGGCAAGCATTCGTCCGGCGCTGTGCCGTTCACGACCATGATAGCGTTGCTGTGTATGTGGTTCGGCATCGCTCTACCGCTTGTGTTCCTGGGATACTACTTCGGGTACCGCAAACAGGTCAGTCAGCGTCAGGAATGGTGTGAAAATAAGGTCGAAGATGTTTCATGGATAGATGGCAGATGTTTATGTACAGTGTAGAAATTTGGAATAGGTTAGTTTTGTGTAACGACTACATTCATACCATGACAGATTAACGACAGTCATGTTAAAGAATTGGACCCCATGACAGAGTAATTATAGCAATAATATTGAATATGGAAGAATCAGGTGATCCTTAACTTCTTTTCATTAGTGGGCACAGGGGGCCCAGTGGTCTAAGGTGCCACAGTTAGCTGTGAAGAGTTGCATCCCTTGGGCACACCAGAACCTTATGATTGGGGTTCAAATTTCCAGTTTGCCCCGATTATGTTTCTAGGTTTGTCAGAACCATGCCCGTGCTCGTGGGTTTCACCAATGTGATAAACTTCTGAGATCTGCATCACTTTGGGCTTTCCTCATTAAGCTGACACGCCATGATATAACTGGAATACTGTTCAAAGTGGCGTTTAACCCAACTCACTCACTCACTCACTCACTCACTCACTCACTCACTCACTCACTCACTCAATCTTTTGAGTAATATATATGCATGTATTTTCAGGTCATCATTTCTGGTGTCCCCCGCCGTAATGTTGCTGGAATATTGCTAAAAGCGGCGTAAAACCATACTCACTCACTCATCATTTCTGCTTCATCATATATAATATATTTAAAGCAAAATTTAAAAAGATGTTTAGTATTTTGTTCTCTTTCTGATGTGACTGGACATGAATTGTTTCAAGGACAATGACCATGACTGTTATCATTTCAGCCCTATGAGCACCCTGTCCGAACCAACCAGATCCCCAGACAGGTGCCCGAGCAGACCTGGTACATGAACTCCTTCCTCGGGTAGGTGTCACAGTGTGGCTTAAACAACGCCAGTTGCTCCATGTAACCATCATTCATAGACCCTTGCTCTGAGCCAGGAAAGTGCAGAGGTGCACCTCTCAGTCAGGGTCCATGATGTGCCCTGATTATGATCTTAGTAGTCGGAACATACACACAGATGTGGATGTTATTTTGTCATCATAAGTCTTTTATATACAAAGAAAAGAAACCATTTGTTGTCCCACTTTTCCACAGCAAATAATCAAATACTTTTCAATGGACCTACTCATTTTTGTGGGTCATGTTTTCTTTTAGAGTTTAGGGGGCACGGATGGCCCAGTCGTCTAAGGCGCCGCCATTCGCTGTGCAGAATTGCGTCCCTTGGGAATGCTAATAACCTATGATTGTGGGTTCAAATCCCGGTTCACCCCAGTTATGTTTCTAGGTTTGTCAGCACCATACCCATGCTCTTGGGTTTCACCTAAGTGGTAAACGTCGGAGACCTGCATCACTTCGGGCTTTCCTCCCACATTAAGGTGACACGCCGTGATGTAGCTGGAATACTGTTAAAAAGCGGCGTAAAACCCAACTCACTCCCTCACTTTTAGAGTTTATTATAGCAGGGATGCAAATTTAGTTTGGCCCTCCAGCTCAGGTCAGTTTGTCTGATGAAGTTGTCTAGATATCTTGTTGAATGTCAGGGGTTTGGGAGGTGTCCTTGTGTGCTGTCACTGTTTTAAATTGAAAATATTTCAGGTTACGTTGTGATATTCCTTGCCAGTGTGGCCAGCCTGTGTATGAAATCTCTTCCATTCTCAGAACCCTGATGGCAGGTATCCTGCCTTTTGGAGCTATGTTCATAGAACTCTTCTTTATCTTCACTGTAAGTATGCGATTCTGGTCGTGATACAAAGTGCGCGTTCTAGTGAATGTAAGGAGTGGGTATCACTGATTTGTTTTCATCGTTTGGAAATATTTTAGTTTAAACATATTGATGTTATTATGATATCAAAATGAATTTTTTAAATCCTCAACCAAGACTTGAATTAATTCCTCAAGGGATTCATAGTTTATCGTCCATTACTTGTCTTGACACATTTCAAGAAAGTTCGTAATAATAGGAATAGTAAAGGATGTTCGATCAATATTGATAGAATCACTGATATGACTTAGGTAATTTGTCAGGAGACAAACCCCCGTACTTAGTGATGTTGGTATTTTTGGATGATAGTTATGACATCTTCAAACAATGTATGTCTCCTAGAAATTTGGTATGTGTGAGAGCCATGCACTAGGTGCTGGCTATGGGGAGTCTGTTTGTATGACTAAGCTTTAAGCTTTATTCTTTGTTACAGGCCATCTGGGAGAACCAGTTCTACTACCTGTTTGGTTTTCTCTTCATTGTGTTCATCATCCTCATCGTCTCTGTTTCCCAAATCTCCATCGTCATGGTCTACTTCCAGCTGTGTGGCGAGGTAGGCAGAGTTTGCAAAGTCCCACATCGGTACAACATGACAAGCTATACACGATGCATAAATGTGCTTACATTATTCACAAATGCACAATCCCACATCGGTACAACATGACAGGCTATACACGATGCATAAATGTGCATCCAGTATTCACATATGCACAGTCCCACATCAGGACAACATGACAGGCAATACACGATGCATAAATGTGCATCCAGTATTCACAAATGCACAGTCCCACATCGGTACAACATGACAGGCTATACACGATGCATAAATGTGCATCCAGTATTCACAAATGCACAGTCTCACATCGGTACAACATGACAGGCTATACACGATGCATAAATGTGCATCCAGTATTCACAAATGCACAGTCCCACATCGGTACAACATGACAGGCTATACACGATGCATAAATGTGCATCCAGTATTCACAAATGCACAGTCTCACATCGGTACAACATGACAGGCTATACACGATGCATAAATGTGCATCCAGTATTCACAAATGCACAGTCCCACATCGGTACAACATGACAGGCTATACACGATGCATAAACATCTATTGTTTGTGTGCGACATCTATTGTTTATGTGCAACATCTATTGTTGTGTTGTGTGACATCTATATGTTTGTATGCGACATTTATTGTTGTGTGACATCTATTGATATGAAACATCTACTCTCTTGTGTTAGATTATATGGCTCAATCTGTTTTTCAGGACTACCACTGGTGGTGGAGATCGTATGTTGTGTCCGGAGGTTCTGCTTTGTACATCTTTGCTTACTCTGTATTCTATTTCATAACGAAGGTAAGTCCATGATCCTCTCTATTGTCAAATAACTTGAGAGAAGTGGGTCCAGGTCGTGAGTCAACTGCAGGAAGTCCCTTCCTTGCAGTTTGGACAGCCTCCGTGCTGTAGTGGATAGAACATTTCGCTCAGGTCGGTGGTTTGATCCCCGGCGTTATTTGTTACGCTGCCTGGCGCTCGGAATTGAAGCAAGAGCGCACGCACGCACGCACTCACGAAAACAGAAGGAAGGGAAGGATATTTTACATGTACTATTTGGAGTTTTCAGAACCATTTATTATCTGCTTTTTATCAACAATAGTCAAATGTTTAATCACATTAATAGAAACGCACAAATGATTAAAGTAGAATAAAGATGAAAAGTATTTGTCTTTAATTATTACTATGGTCTTTGTTATTCCTAAAAATGGTGTTTAGTTTTAGATAAGCCTCTTAATCCAAAATAAAGAGCTAAAAATCCCAGTTGGGAATCTGAGATTGAACAGGTCCCCAGTGATCAGTGTTTGTTGTTCGAGTTGACTAAAGTTAATCTTGAGTTTCCTGCTTGGTGAGGGGCGGTAGGGTAGCATAGTGGTAAAAGAGTTCGCTTTGTGTTCACGCAGAAGATCCGGGTTCGATTCCCCCCTTATTACTATGTGTGAAGCCAGCCCACTTCTGGTGTCCCCTGCCATGATATTGCTGGAATATTGCAAAAAGCAGCGTAAAACCGTACTCACTTAGAGTGTGGGTTCGAATCATGGACAGAACTCAAACCCCAAAAGTACAAGAATTTATACTTTACTAAGAAAGTGTGATCCCAGATATAACATTTGTTATACTCAGAATATGAAGAATATGATGAAATATTTGCTTGTTACTTCAGAATATGATGAAATATTTGCTTGTTACTTCAGAATGTGATGAAATATTTGCTTGTTTCTTCAGAATGTGATGAAATATTTGCTTGTTACTTCAGAATATGATGAAATATGTGCTTGTTACTTCAGCTTGAGATCACGGAGTTCATCCCCACGCTGCTGTACTTTGGTTACACTGGAATCATTGTGCTCACCTTCTGGGTGCTGACTGGCACAATCGGCTTCTACGCAGCCTACTGGTTCATCCGCAAGATATACGCTGCCATCAAGATAGATTAAGGGTTGTAATTTTAGGTGTATTCTAACTTTGAATGAGGTTATGTGTGGTCAAGAGTGAGAGGCGTAATCTTTCCGTGTATTCGGTGAGGAAAGAGGTGATGACACTCCTACATACGGGGCTATTTTATTGTGGTGATGTTACAAAGGTATTTTTATTGGATTTACTGGAAAATATTGTGTTCTTTGAAATGCATTGTGCACAATATTAATCCATCTTTTCATTTTTAGAAGATAATCCTGGTACGAGGTCTCCTTATATCCTTGAAATACCCTGAACAATGTTATTTCCATCTCTCTCCGCCAGACCCTATGAAAAAAAGATATTTTGTGAAATGATTTTGATAAATAAATTGAATTTATTCATATTTATTTGATTTGTAATCTGAAAATCAGTTTTGTTTCAAGAAAAATCAATTGGTAGTTATTTAACAGCTATAAGGAATATTTGGACCATTATGTGAACAAATATCTTACAGTAATGAAAGCCTTCGAGCTTGTGGTGTAATTAATGTTTATACTGTATTATAAAACACTGTCCGACATACTGTGTACATATCTGTGTATATATAAGTGTTTCATTAGCAGATCAATATTTCATTGTGATTAAACAGAAAGTGCTTCTAGATATATATATCCTGTTCATTTGAGACAAATGCACAAAGTAATTAAAAAAGGTTTACTAACTTGAAATATACAGCGTTCATGATAGTGTATTAATTGGGAATTTGGAAAAATGGTGTTGCATGAAAGCTTTGGTGCTATCATTCAAAGTATTCTATACTTATTTACAAAATTGAAACAGGGATTTACTGGGGTAAAGGTATGTAGGATGTGAGAAGGTCCTGCCTGCATCATTAGACAAAGAATGCTGGTGGCAGACCATACAGCAATCTAGCAGACTTGTTCCCTTGTATTCCACACATGCACCCTTGGAAATAGCTTTTAGCACAGAGGAGCTAGCCAATCTCAATAGTTCATGCTTCTTAAGCTTAAACTAATGACCTCCATATATAAATGAAAATGCAATGTCATGAACAATTATTACCTGTAAATGGGTGAGGAATACATATGTGTAATGTGTTTTACTGTTTGATTTTGGAGAGCCACTTGTTTTTTCTTACTCTGGGGTTAATAGTGGTAATATGTTGGGTTTATGTTAAACTCAAAATCCTCCAGTTCTAGGTTTCAAGAATGCTTGTAGACATTGCATTTATGAAGTCACTATTCACGCTTTGTCAAGATGGTTCAGATGATTTTCAGGCAGTCCTAATATATATACATTGTATTCATAGGCTTTAGTCAGTTTTATTTTGTTTTTTGTGGGTGTGAAATATTTAAGGAAATCTTATTCAATAATTGATGTATTTATTTAATTCCAAGCAGCTTCATTTTGCTATATCCCTGGTATGTGTTGATTCTGACAAGTATTCCTTCATAAATAGAATCATTCTTATACTCCTTCTTGTGGTTTAACCATTTGTTAAGAATGCGCATAATTTAACAAGTTAGCTCCAGGTATGTAGCAAGACATCCTGTCGTCAGTGGCCCTCTGAACGCATCCCATTCTGCATAGCAAGCTTTGAACTTCATGCATCATCATCATCATCATCATTTATTTATGTTCGTCTTGTTTACATATGTTATGTAACCTTGTTTTTGTTTTGATTCAAAAATGTTTTTAACCATAAGAGTTTTGTTAAAAAACTTCAGTTTGTTAGCGGAGTCCTATTTAATTATTGTAAACTTGGTCGAGGCCAGTTAGTTTCTCAGACTGTCTGTCATGTTTAGCACCACTGCCAACAGTTTGTGTTAATATTTCCTAGAATATGTTTATGATCAGTTAAATATTCCACAACATAGACTGACTGAAACCAAATTAGCTATTCAACACTGTGTTTTTATTAGTTTTGAATATTTGCGCACAGAATCTTTTTCTTCTGGATTGTATGTGAGATTATTATTATATGCTACTCAAAACAAGTTAAGGAACACCCACATAGGGGTAGATTTAACACAATTTGTATGGCGCCAGCAGGGCTTGCTCCTTTTAAAGGGTACTGGCCCTTCTCCGAACTAACTGGCCTACAACTAAATGGTGGAGTCTGCGAAGTGGCCCAACCTGTGGTCACGTAGCCACCTGGCAGGGCTCTGAACAGTTTAGAACTCTTCACCGTTTCATCCTGCATTCCGAGATAAAAACAAAAGTGAGATTACAAAATGGCAGCCAGTTGTCAATCTACCGAGAGGATCCAATTAAACAAATTAATCATGTACGGAGAAGGGGTGAATTTTTACTAGCCTGATGGGCCATTTACTTTACGTTTCAGCAAGCCCTTTGTAGTTTTTTCTGGCCAAGGGCCAATGGACCAGCAGTTAAGTCGACCCCTGCCCCTGAAGACTTCATGTTGCATACCCATCAGCCATGACAGATTAGCTATAGTTATATGAAAAATTCAGGTGTTCTTTAACTTCTTTTGAGTAGCATATATGTTTATAATAGGTGAGGAAATATATTATTATTTCTAATAATACTGTAGACTTGAATGTAGACTTGTTTGGAATTATATACTAGATTTCATGATGGTTTGTGGATGTGGAACTGTCCTCTTGCCAGAGGGCAACTGGTTATAATATTCTTGCCCGGCGCCAAGATTAATGGTCCATGGATTTTAGTCCCAGCCACCTTTCAAGTTATATGTTGGTCCTTATCAGATGAAATCAGCTTAATGACATGACGGACAATATTTAGGTGTATTACAGTAGACCAACAAGTAAATCATGACACAAAATCACTACATCACAGACAAGTGGAATGACTTGAATAATATGTGGCCTGTCTGGATTCCACTGTTGAAAAATTTGATGTTTGAAATTTGTCCACAAACTTTAAGATCAACAATCTACTTGTCAGGTTGTCATGGTTACTGAATTGTGCAAGTAGGTTTTCAGCTCCCCTGAGAATAAAGGTTGTTATGATCAATGTTAAATGGTGATTATATCCGATATCAAGATTGTTCAGCCAGCTAGCAGTTAACAAGGCCTGCAATATGGGTCTGTGTGTGTGTGTGGGGGGAACGTGATATATAGTTATGTTCACGACAGCATGACATTTCATTGATTGATCTTGTATATTTTGATTGTCAAGTTATTTGACTAATTTAAGGGATACTCATCATGTGACACAGCCCTCAGCACGGAAGTGTCATGTGTTTGTAAATAGAAATTACGAATCATCGATGTTTGTGATCTTGTTTATCTGTGAAGTAATTATGTAACCTGATATTTTTTCTGCTGTTTTGAAAAAAAACCACTTTAACATTTGATTACTTGGTACTTAAATTCATGAATTTGTTTTACCTCAAATTTCCTGTTATAACATCTTTGGGTGAAAAACACAAATATATTTAAAACTGTTATCTGTATGAAAAGCTACCATTTGTAAGACATTGATTAGATTAGATTTAAAAACAAGCAATTATGAGCTGAAACTGGGGATAAGACATAAGCTAATATATCTTGAGTGAAATGTGAATAAGTGCTGGAAATTACCCTTGAGGCAGTTTCTGCCATTGTACACCATATGTTAGCCATGTTAGAGGATTGTAGTCGCACACCTTTATGTTCAGTTCAGTGTTTCATTACAAGTTTCCATTTCATTCTCTGTAAGTATGTACGTATGCCTGTCAGGAGCATGTTAATACAGTTCACCTGTCTTTGGAAACTAGCAATGTATATATTTGAAGGTATCACTATGAGGATGTACTATCTATCTTTGCATCCATGTTTCCTTGGTTTGGGGAACATGAATGGCAACTTGAGGGAAATAAACTTGTATTTTCTAGAGAGCGTCTTTGTTGTATGTTTCATTTTATGTTTGTTGTTTAACGCTGCGCTCAGTATTATTAAAGCTGTATGACCCTGACAGCGGTCTGTTAATACATGTTATCGAGTCTGGACCAGACAATCAAGTGATTGACATCATGGCATCAATCTACATGATTAGGATATGATGACATGCACAAAGCAATCTGACCACCCGGTCCTGTTAGTCGCCTCCTACGACAAGCAAGGGTTGCTGACGATCAATTCTAACCAGGATCTTCACAGGATGTTGTAATTCACATCAGTTGGGTGGTTTTCACCAAAGCATAGATGTGTAGCAGTATGTGATATTTAATAATATTTACCATAGCCTTTGGGTCATGGTAATTGGAGACACATACAAGATGCAGTGTGGGTTTGAACATGACAATTTTTGACTGATTCGAAAGTTTAATTCTGTGAAGTGTTACTTTAGCCAGGACTACAACCCTGAATTGAGAGCTGTTTATTTTTGCATCTGGGGTCACACGTGGCCCAGTCATCCAAGGCACCCCATTTCACAGTGCAGAGTTCAGTCATGCCAGAAGCCTTTATTTACAAGTTTGTAAAGCTGTAGTCACCAAATTGTCAGCATTATCACAATGACCAGTAAATAATGAACTGTGGTGGATAGCATGAACAACAATCCACATCAATCTGGTATGGCAGGCAATCAACCATGTCAAACAACCAACAAAAGTTGGCTCATGACAATCAACCAGGTCAAACATCAACAGTTGGCTCTTCTACTCTGGAATCCAAATATAAATAACATACAGTGCAAAGCTTCCGGTCAAAGGTTTTATATTCATATTATCATTACATAAATAACATACAGTGCAAAGCTTCCGGTCAAAGGTTTTATATTCATATTATTTCATTACATATTTAGTTATATATATATATATACATATTCAACTGGAACAATAGTCCAACGGTCCTATATAAAAAAACTGTCACCAAATCAATTTGTTTTCTTTCAAAATTAAGCTAGATGTGTTCAAGGTAACATTGTGGATATTGTGATCACACTTGAAGATGACTCCTTGTAAAGTCCACTTCATGTTTAGTTGCTGTGAGAACCAGTGAGTGAGTGAGTTGGCGTTTACGCCACTTTGATCAGTATTTCAATAATATCAAGGCAGGTCAGTTTAATGTGGTAGAAAAACCCACTCCAGGTTTTGACATTTATTGAAACTCACGAGAATGTTCTGACAAACAGATCAAGGTGTAAATGGGCTTCCAACTGACGATCATTGGGTTCTGGCACGCCTAAGGGACATAACTCTGCACAGTGAATTGTGGCATCAAAGTCAAGGGGCCACCTGTGACTGTCACTAGTTACCATGGATGTCTGATGCTTCATCTCGTTGTCATGGCTATATGTACAATGAGATGGGCACATTTTATAACTGCTATTTTTGCTTGCATGTAGCTCCAGACAAAGACAGTAGCCTGTATGTAGGTCCAGACAAAGACGGTAGCCTGTATGTAGGTCCAGACAAAGACGGTAGCCTGTATGTAGCTCCAGACAAAGATGGTAGCCTGTATGTAGGTCCAGACAAAGACGGTAGCCTGTATGTAGGTCCAGACAAAGATGGTAGCCTGTATGTAGCTCCAGACAAAGACGGTAGCCTGTATGTAGGTCCAGACAAAGACGGTAGCCTGTATGTAGCTCCAGACAAAGATGGTAGCCTGTATGTAGCTCCAGACAAAGATGGTAGCCTGTATGTAGCTCCAGACAAAGATGGTAGCCTGTATGTAGCTCCAGACAAAGATGGTAGCCTGTATGTAGCTCCAGACAAAGACAGTAGCCTGTATGTAGCTCCAGACAAAGATGGTAGCCTGTATGTAGCTCCAGACAAAGATGGTAGCCTGTATGTAGGTCCAGACAAAGACGGTAGCCTGTATGTAGCTCCAGACAAAGATGGTAGCCTGTATGTAGCTCCAGACAAAGACAGTAGCCTGTATGTAGCTCCAGACAAAGATGGTAGCCTGTATGTAGCTCCAGACAAAGATGGTAGCCTGTATGTAGGTCCAGACAAAGACGGTAGCCTGTATGTAGCTCCAGACAAAGATGGTAGGCTGTATGTAGCTCCAGACAAAGATGGTAGCCTGTATGTAGGTCCAGACAAAGACGGTAGCCTGTATGTAGCTCCAGACAAAGATGGTAGCCTGTATGTAGGTCCAGACAAAGACGGTAGCCTGTATGTAGCTCCAGACAAAGATGGTAGCCTGTATGTAGGTCCAGACAAAGACGGTAGCCTGTATGTAGGTCCAGACAAAGACGGTAGCCTGTATGTAGCTCCAGACAAAAGATAGTTGTAACACTACTGCTCCTCCTTGTGTTCAGTCCGGGACTTTGATCATCTCTGTTTAATGCCACAGGCCTGGTGCTGTATCACAATGTATCACTTAGTAACAGCGGTGACAGGAGTCTCAGAGAAGTGACTTGGACATGTAGGGGCCTTCCAACTCATAGCCAATCTTGCGGTAATAGTTCCTTGTACCAACACCTGTGGAAATCATTGGTTAATCATTAGTCTCGTTTTAATATGATTAAATCATTTTTCATTATTTGCAGGCAACCTTGCATGTTTCAGAAGGAGACAAGTAGTAACCACTAATTCAATTCGTGGAATGCCAGAGTGAGTGAGTGAGTGTGGTTTTAATCTGCTTTTAGCAATATTCTAGCAATATTATGGCGGGGGACACCGGAAATGGGCTTCACACATTGTGCACGTGGGGAATTGAACCCAGGTCTTCAGCATAACGAGCCAATGCTTTAACCACAAGGCTACACTACCACCCCTTGCCAGAATGAAAATCTAAAGATTATCTTCTCACAGTCTTCAGAATTATTTTTATCTAGGCCTAGTCAAATTCTATCAAGCATTCTTAACTCGTAATTTTCTGTTTTGCCATTTTTGTCAACATTATTGATACTGAAATGTTTGTTTCCTCTTTTCCGTAGTCTTCTTGGTAGATTGCCTAGACATTGTGTAAAACTAGGAACAAACATAACCTGACCATGTGTTATCCATAACAGAAGGACAATTGTGTGTGAGGACTGTAATGGATATCGGGTAACAGACCTGAGATGACGGCCATCTTGTGGGAGCCATGTTCTTCACGAGCGATCCTCTCTGCTTCCTCCATCAACAACATGCCAAAACCCTGAAGTAGAGTCAGTATTAGTCACATCATCATCATCATCATCATCATCACTGCATTACCACCACCACCACCAATCATCATCATCATCATCATCATCAAAACCATCATCACCACCATCGTCGTCGTCGTCATCATCGTCGTTGTCTTTTGTTCATGAGAGTAGCATGAGTTTCTAGACCGTCTGACTACTTCTGCAACTGGCATGATACAGTGACTACTTCCAGTCTTTGTCTTTACATAATGTCAGTATTCTTCAGGGATTATAATGCCTGAATACACATTCTACTCAAATACTAATGCACTTTGTTTTGTTGGAGGAACTTCTAGAATTGTCAAGATACCCCATTTTCATCCCTATACATGCACAAGGTATCCCAAGTTCAGGAAACTCTGCCACCCAAGTTAAAGAATGGCATCCTGTGTTCTAGGTAACTCCAGACCTGTCGCAATTCCCTGGGGACAGTACAAAACAGAAATATTCCTGCTATATCTCAACAATAATTAAATCTCAGACAGAAAAACAGTGGTTGACATCATGAGTTAGTGAGTTGGGTTTAACGCCACTTTTAACAGTATTCCAGTTACATCACGGCCTGTCAGCTTAAAGTAGGAGAAAAGCCCGAAGTGATGCAGGTCCACTTTGGTGAAACCCACGAGCACGGGTATGGTGCTGACAAACCTAGAAACATAATCGGGGCGAACCGGGGATTCGAACCCACAATTATAGGTTTTTTGGCGTGCCCAAGGGACGCAACTCTGCACAGCGAATCGCGGCGCCTTAGACGACTGGGCCACCCATGCCCCCGGTTGACATCATGAGCAATCTAACATGTCGTCAAGCAACGATGACACACAATCCACCCAGTCTCTTTAATCAACCCATTAACCCAGGTCCCGCTGGGTCTGTACAGGAAGTACACACTCATACTAACCTGATGCTGAAACTTGGTGGGATCCCGTGCATTGACCGGAACAACGCTGCCATACACGTGCAGCTCCCGCACAATGGAACAGCCGCCCTTCAACTCCGCACGGAACGTCTCCTCAGAACACTTGCGCAGCCGAAGTAGGCCAATCAGAATATCCTGTTCCGGGTCCTCGTATGACAGGAACGTCTCCCAGCCACCATTAGCTACATAGTCTCGACGTATCAGCTCCGCCTGACAACCAGGTGCAACACATTTTAAGGCACATTGGGAGCATCAGCGAATTGGATTCAAATTATTCAAAACCCACTTTGTGAGTTGACGTAAATTTCATATCGTATATCAACTAGGAGTTGAAGACTCCCCTACTTACACACATACAATGTCTCCGTTTCGCCAATATTTACAATGTCTAGACCTAGGGCACAAGATCGTGGAGAATGGTGAATCTGGTGAATGAGAGAGTGTAGCCTGTAAACAATCAAGTCTGGACCATGCAAGTAAGTGACTGGAAATATATGCAACAAACCATGCCGAAATATCTGCTAGAAAACCACAGTAAATTAGAGTAGGTTTTCACACTTTAATATCGCAAATGTTCTACTAATATCTGTTTACAAGACTCAAGCTTCCGACAAGAGGCTAAAGTTGCAGATTGATATGAATACAACTTCTTTCTTTGAATGTCACCATTTTCCATCACTTTACCAGCTGATTGGTCCCTCATGAATAACACCCCACAAGATTGTACTGCACTGAGGTGTAAAATATATTAATTATATTAATAGTAATGTACTACTGCTGAGAACACTGTTACATAAGAAGCTGATATGGTAATTTAAGTTATTGAACGGTATAACAGTTTCTAGAACCAGCTAATGATTTTGAAAATCTCCCTGAAGTGGTCACATGTTGCATGCCCATGCGGTCCTCCTCCTGACTATGACTGACACTCACCTCATACGGCTTCACTTTGTGGTGTATCTCCTGTATGCCCACCTCCCGTGTGCGGACGTCCCGACACTGGGTGCCAAGGTCTTTCATCCTCGCCAGCGCCAACTCTCGGAGATTGCCATGTTCCACACCTGATGTGACTAGCGGCATGGGGATATCTCTGTGGGGGTCAGGACGGTGACATGTTTGTTGCTCAACTCAATCATGTTTTCAACAGGACTCTATTCACTTTCATCAGTTGCTATTGCTTAACATATGAGACTTTATTCTTAATATTTACACACAAGAGAGAGAGAGAGAGAGACCTGCATCAAGTGGGCCACATCATTTTCTAGAGAGAGAGGGGGGACTGTGAGGGAGCGAGAGAGAGGGGGAGGGAGGGTGGGGAGCAGTGAGGGGGAGAAAGAGGAGAGAGAGGGAGGGAGGGGGCAGTGAGGGGGAGAGAGAGAAGGAGAGAGAGTGATGGCTTCATGCCACTTTCAGCAATATTCTAGCAAGGTACACAATTAATGGACAATCGAATCCAGCCTTAAACGTGACGAGCCTATGTTTTAGCCACTTAAACTAGCATTGTGTTTTCCATACTATAAATCTCAACATTAATTCAAATGCCCAATTGGGGAATTCAGTACATTTTGTATAATTACTATATGACAGCATACCTCTGCACTCTGTACACTCTTGTCCAGGGCGGCACCAGGGCCAGGATCCTGGCAATCAGGTCAATAAGTACACTGGGGGGATAACTCTTGTATCGACCTGTCTTCCATAACTCGTACAGACCTGTGAAAAAACATTGAATGTTTTATCTTTGAGTTTTCCCTCCACATTAAAAAATGTACTTAACATATGTGATTGTCAGTTGATTATCCAGGGCCCTGAGTCCAATCATTCTCAAAGTAGCTTTACATATTTTACATACCAACATCCCAGGCAGCATTACACAATTGGGCCAATGCTGGCTGAGCGTTGCCAGTATCGCCAGTGCCGGCATCGCTCTCGCAGCACTGGCCCATCAGCGGGCCAACGTGGGCCAGCCAATGCCAGATAACAACTCAGCTGGGTTCCGCTCACACCCTCGCAAGGCGACAGTAGCCCCATACAGTGCCACGCTCTTATCAGTAATCTGCCCTGAACACTCAAAGTTGATATTAAATACCATCTTTTATAGGAAGAAAAAAAATGATATATATATAAATTGTTTGGTCATGAGTACTAAAATAAGGAATATATGCCTCTGGTAATTATTTAGAGAAATCAAATAATTATAATAAGGAATAAAAACTGTTTATGTATCACTTTACCGCGGATCAAGCTAACGGTTACATTCCATTCTACAAGTGGGTCATTCTTCCTGTTGATATCTTTGTCTCTAAATTTCCCCATTTCAACAACAGTAAGTATGATTTTCATCAATCTACAGAATCCTCCTAACAGATAACCACTTTGGCGTAAAATAAGTATAATATCCTTAATGTTCTTGAGGAAGAAAGAGCTATATTAATGAGATAATTAATTTCATGAAATCTGATATACTGGCGCCATAGTAAAAAAGTGTGATCTGTACATTGGTCTACTTTTGTTCGTGTTAACATCTGTGAATTCAGTGTAAATGTAATTGTTTCTCATGTAATAGTTTCATATGTCTGTGCCTCAAGATATGATTTGAACTCAATTAAATAGCTGGGCTATACTGCGAACCAATGTTATTTTCATGAAAACAAATATATTACCGATAACCAGTATTAATTTGAGCATTTTTAGTTTGTTTTTCTGATTTCTTTCAAAGTTCTGCAAAGTTTAAAGTGATAATTAAGAAACAAATATATAGACCAAATTATTCCCTAATTACAACACATGCACTGACGCATTTACAGCAGATTAATTTAAAATCAAACCAGACTGTAGTACATTCCCACGAAACAATAGCTAGTTTCTCATAACTATGAATGATTCGTACTGGACAAAGCGTCGTAAGGTAAGGGACAGGGTAGCCGAACATATACAAGCCATAACATCAGCACCACACAATGAGGATTATCAGGAGGATTATCAGGGAGATACAGAACAAGAAGTTACCAGTGATACGTTTGCCTACGCAGTAGATGACTCGGATCAATTTGATGATTCCTTGAACAGATATGTTACCAATACAGATGACTTAGAAACGACATATAATGACATGCCATTGATGACTGATCATAGTTTCCAACAAGCTCATGCAAGTATACACCCTGAAGGTATTATTACAGACAGTAGTGAAAACGAGAGCACTGAATCCGACTGTGAAAGCTCAAAGGATAACAATATGCGGAGTAAACTTGGTGAATGGGCTGTATCATATCAGATAACTCAGAAATCCCTGGCAGCATTATTGGAGATACTTCGCACTGATTATCCAACTCTACCAAAGGACCCAAGATCATTACTACATACTCCAAAACATTATGATGTAAAAGACATATCCGGGGGCAAATATTTTCACTTTGGGATCGCAAATGGCATTTCACATCAACTTTCTTGTAGTTGTTTGTCAGATGTACATGCATCATCTTCAGTCACATTTCAAGTAAATATTGATGGACTACCTGTTTTTAAAAGTACTTCCATGCAATTCTGGCCAATACTTGGAAGAATAGTTAGCCCTGATGTTGGAGAGCCCTTCATCATTGGTCTTTTCTATGGCTGTTCCAAACCAGCTAAACTTGATGAATATCTTGAAGATTTTGTGGAAGAAATGAAATTACTGGAGCGCGATGGGTTTGATTATTTAGGGACAACTATGGAAGTTGTGTTGTCGTGTGTCATTTGTGATACACCAGCTCGGGCCTTTGTGAAGGCAGTTAAAGGACACAGTGGTTATTATGGATGTGACAAATGTACGCAAAGCGGGATCTATATAAACAAAATGACATTTCCTGAAATAAATGCGGCTTTAAGAACAGATATCAAGTTTGATGAAATGAGGGATGAAGAACACCATGCACATGGCAGGTCACCATTCAGTCGATTATCTGTTGGAATGGTTTCACAATTTCCAATCGATTACATGCATTTAGTGTGCCTTGGTGTCATGAAGAAGTTACTCATGTTATGGATGAAAGGCCCGGTATCTCTTGGTTGCAGGATAGGATCAACTGCAGTAAACATGCTGTCTGAGAGACTAATTGAATATAGCAGCTACATTCCGCGGGAATTTTGTAGAAAGGGGAGATCATTACATGAAATTGATAGGTGGAAGGCAACAGAATATAGATTGTTTTGTTTATACACTGGTCCTGTAGCGTTAAGTGAAATTTTATCTCCTCATGTTTACGCGAATTTCTTACTTCTCTTTGTTGGAATTACATGTTTGGCAAGTCCTCAGCTCGTAAACAATTTCTGTAGTTACGCGAACGAAATTCTTTGTATTTTTGTGCAAAATTTTGCCCAGATATATGGGAACGACATGCTCGTATACAATGTACACGGGTTAGTACATTTGTCTGAAGACGTCAAGAAATTTGGTCCATTAGATAATTACTCAGCTTTTGTATTTGAAAACTACTTGGGAAAGTTGAAAAGATTGCTACGTACACCAAACCGCCCCCTTCAACAAGTAATAAGGAGAATATATGAGCGGCAGTTTATTAAGCGGAATAATGACTCTATCATCAAAACAAGAGAACCTAAATATGAACACACACATGGGCCACTGCTTCGTGATTTAGATTCTGTTAAACAATATAAGGAGCTACAAATGGATGATTTTCTGATATCATGTTCCAGAGGAAATAACTGTGTAAAATTGGACAATGATGTGGTAATCATCAAGAATATTTTGTTACATTCCAATCAGGACATTAGTATAATTTATGAGAAATTTATGGACAAGAGTGATTTTTTTACATATCCTATTTCTTCATCTATCATTGGAATCCACAAAGTTTCACGATTAACGAGACACATTTTTGTCGGAAAATTGACACTCATCAAATGCAAATATGTTCTTTTACCAAAACATGATTCATTCATAGCAATACCCGTTATGCACAGTGAGAAATAAATTACAGAGTTGACATGAAGAAACAACTTGAGGAATAGTTATATGTAACTATCTGAGACTGTACCTGTTTACACTTTGTATATTGGTAGATTTATATGACAAATGTTATCACAGGAAAATGCACTGCATTGTGAAGTTCTTGAAAAGTGATGAAATCGGCCTTATTCCTGATACGTGGTTGGAAGGGGATAGGTTCTGCTACTGGCCGAAATACAAGAACTCCAATCAAATGGACAGAGCCGTAAAATCTTCAATCGAACCAGATAAGGATACCTGGAAGATTTATGAAATATCCATCATGTACAAGAATGGTAAGTTACTTTATATATATTACTAGGAAAATAGAAGCTAAGTTTTTCATTGCCATCATAACTGATATACTAGTAGGTAACAAAGGCAACATTTTTTTACATGGTGTATTTGGTGTCAGTACAGAATATCAAGCAATTCCAAAATAGATCACATGAGTTTAAAGTTTTCTTCAGTAATCATGAACCTATACAGTTTGTATAATAATCTATTATACATGATGACAATTACATTTTATCTGACGACCAAACCTGTCAATATATTATATTTTAGCATCATATGACAAGGCTAGGAGGAAGTTGCCACTAGCTGAAGAGACATCCAACCTGGATACAGAGATGGAGGAAGAGGGACAGATAGATACAAGGAAAAGAAGGTATTATAATGTCAGATACATATTTATCTTCTTTGACAGTAATTTTACAGAGATAAAATAAAACTGAATATGCCGTAAATAATTCTCTGTTTCTGAAATGTATGTCTTTGTGATTGGCTTTATCATAATGTTTTACATGATTGAATGTACATGTTTTGTCCATTCAGCAGTTTGTGCCAAAGCTTCTTATAGAAAAATGGTTTCAATTTGATAATTGCTTGTGTAGGCCACCTACTAAATACCTGTCAACTGACAGTGAGGACGAAGAGGAAAGGCAACCCCATACCCACACCAAAAAGACCAAAATTATGGACAGGAGTGGCATGGTTAGAAGGCTGCCTACACCACCTCCTGTTCCGACTGAGGTTGATAACGAACCCCTGGTTCTGCGACGATCTCCAAGGAAATCGGCGCATCAAAAGGAGCATGCATATGTTACTTCAAACTCAAGCCTAACAACGCCCACAACAGACAGAAGTTTGTCATCTCCTTGGCCATCAGCAACCAGGGCGAGACTGGTGACACCTTCAACCTCTTCACACAGCCCAATGCCAGATTTCCCTAGTACACCAGCCCGACCGCAAACTAGTTTTCCATCAAGAGCAACAGGTTCATTGACATCTGTTGGTACCAGCAGAGGTAAGAAATTTATCAATGGTATTCTCTGCAAAAGTCAATGACGGTATATGACAAGAATGAATGAGTGAGTGAGTGAGTGAGTAGTGTATAACGCCACTTTTAACAATATTCCAATTATATCACGGCGTGTCAGCTTAATGTGGGAGGAAAGCCCGAAGTGATGCAGGTCTCAGACGTCTACCACTTCGGTGAAACCCACGAGCACGGGTATAATGCCGACAAACCAAGAAACATAAAGGGAACGAATCAGACCCCACACGCATAGATTTCTGGCGTGCCCAAGGGACGCAACTCTGCACTGCGAATTGTGGCGCCTGCAGGCGATTTGGCCACCCCTGCCCCCGTATATGGAAAGAAGTAACTGACATGTATGATGCTAAAAAACAATTCCATTTTAGTTGGGCTGATCACTAACCTCAAATGAACTAAAGCATGTTAATGTTGCAGTATTGTGGAAATATAATGGAACAATATATCCGGAATAATTTTGAGATATAATTTATTTTGCTATTTTTCTTTTTATAACAGAGGTTGTCCAAATAATCAGAGCCATCGAAACCAACACAGCGACCACGATGGAAAACAACAGACTGCTTAACCAGTTGTTGTTATTGATGTCAGCTCCAGCACAATCAACATCTGAGCAACCGTCCTTAGACCTGCCTCTTGACAATATTCAAGACCTGGAGGAGGCAAACACTTCTTTGTCGGATGCTACTCTATTCAGGAGTGTGGTAAATATTCCAGCCCATTGTTTTAAATTGCGAAACGTCATTTGTAATAATACGATTTCAATGGTCTTAATTTTATATATTACATCCTACAACAAAGGCACGATTAAAAATACGTGTTCATTTCTGTATTACGGCAGCTGAAGTTTTTAGCTAATTTCCGTATTGTCATAATTTATATAAAATAGAATAAAACATAATTACTTTCAACGTTTCTACAAGCGTGTTTTTTAAAGGAAACGCTAACCATCCCAACCCAGTTAGGCTTTCATACAATATTAATTTGACTTCATTCGTAATCCGTAACTATACTTCATTCAAATATAAATGTTCGTTCGTTCATGTTATGTTATTTTAAGAAAACAAACTATAAAAGCTGTCTCCATAATACGAATATGTAATTGTAACTATACCATGCATGTTTTACATATAATTTAGGTCTCACAACTTGGTGTCATCGGGGGCATGAGCGCTGCAGACACGGTGAGACGCATCCTGTCGGCGGCCATAACAAACAAGCTGGCAAAACAAATAAATTGGAAAGGGACATCCGGGAAGAGGGCCTTTAAAGATATGCCACTAAAGGATGTTATCATTAGTAAGTACAGCTTCAATCTTAATTCGCCTCAACATATTCCTTGATAATTGCTAAGACATGAAACTGTCTTGAAAACAACTTGAAACAACGTCACACTCATTTTTAGTCTTTCAGTGTAAAACGTCGCAATCCTTGTACATTTACCAGCATAAACATATAAATGTGCCTAAAACTGTTTGTGTGAAGTAATTAACACATTTATGTCACGAATCAGTGTTATAGATTTCAGTAGCTTGTATCATGTCAACTATGTTGCAGAAGCCACCCGAAAGAACCCACTGGTCCAGAAAACAAATAATGAGATAGAAGATCATATAAAATTGTGGTTTCGCTATGCCCCTGACAGGGACGGAGGAAGAAAGGAGAGGATCCTTAAGGCCTTACAAAAGAAGGCAGCAGCTACCGCAGCTGCACCAGCTACTCCCAATGGAGAGTAGTTTGCTGAACCAGACTAAGAACACATATTACTTTTATACGTGTGTTCAAATTCACATCATTAATGTTCTGGGAGGCATATTTATTCAAATATTAGCTATTTACATGTAAATAAACAAGGAGATGGATCACCTGGTTGTTTGTTACATTTTTCCGACTATGCAGGACTTGATGAATTGGATTTGCATTATACAGTTTTGTGGTAGACTGACCAAGAATTTCTTTATTTTAAACACTGTGGTGACACTGCTAATGAGTTTCTTTGAAAATCATCGTTAAGTCTTCACTGTCGCTTGCATAACCTTGAACTACTTACCATAGTCTGAAATTACAGGAAAGGTAATTTTAAACTTGCCAACATTGGACCAACATTGGACCAACATTGGACCAACATTGGACCAACAGTGGGCCAACATTGGGCCAATGATGGCTCACAAATGACAACCAATGTTGGCCCAATGCTGCCCCATCGTTGATAAACAGCATTGGCCCATTGCCGGCAAACGACATTGGCCCAATGTTCAGTGCGGCATTGGCCCACTGTTGGCCCAATTGTGTAATGCTGCCTGGGATGATCCACTGGAATTCTATTTGTCCCATTGCCAGCAATGCCTGGACCATAGGTGTAACAATATAGTAGGATCGTGATACAATATCCCTATACTGAGGGGGCGATACAATTCGTATACCAATACAGTACTTTTATTTCTTAAGTTGAAGTAGCCAGACACTGTATCACAGACATACAGTCTCACCTGTGCCTCGAATAACAAGGGTGGGGTAAATCTTCAAACCATCTGGTCGAAATGCTGGATTTTCAAAGAACTCCTGAAACAAAATAAAAGCCACAACATGAATTATCACCCCCTTGATGTTGTGGTCATATCATGTTTTTTAACTATTTTTAAATACTATTTTCATGTTTCTATTTCTTTAAGTAGCATTTAGAAGCTGAAGAAAGAATCAAAAGTTTAAGTCTATCAGCCAATCCCGTCTGTATTATTGTTGGTGGTGTTATCATTGTTACTTGATTTGTTCGTAAGGCTACAAAAACTTACAGTCTTGGTTCTCAGGCACCGCCCGCATCATCATATAGTTTGTCGCGTGTTTTGTTGTTATTTATTTATTTGTTAAAAAAAAAATTTAAAAATATTATTTAAAAGAGTCCAACAGTAGTCAAATACTGTATTCCAGTATTTTACTTGTCACGGAATACAGTTATTTAGGGAAGCCATTTCCCAGGTTGATTGTACACAACTGTTTATTTTGTTGCACAACTGTTTATTTGCTTACATACTAATTTGAACAGCCTCCCCCCCCCCACACAAAAAAAAGACACTGTTCGTCTGCACGAAATTTTTAAAACCCATTGCCTGAGAACCAATTCTTTCTGGGGTTTTAAAGCCTTATGTGCCCTTAATCGTACACATCAGTGTTTAATATATACCAGTGTTCGAAATACCTGCCTGCCCGACCGTCCGAGACGGGTTGATTTCAACTCGGGCTGCCAGATTTTCAAATCCCCCTGCCCGACGGTCGGGTTATATTTCATATGTGAAAATATTCAAAATATTTCCCGATGATAAGCATTAATTCACATGTAAAGATGAATGATAAAATGTAACCAAAAAGAAACCCCATTAGCTTATCCTGAGGAACATGATTATAGTGGGCAGGCAGGTTTTGGTCAGGGCTGGCAAGTATTTCAGCTAGCCAGTCCTGTGGTCTGGCTGAAAATTTTGGGAGTTTCATACCCTGTATATACACCTGCCCATTCTACTGTCCATGATGGGCTGTTTGATAATGACCTGATAATCAGGACTGGCAAGTCTTTAACCAGACTGGCTTTTCATTAGACATGCCAGCCCTGGTGTCTGGCTGCCCCTTATCTGAATTTTAAACAAATGATTATTGCGTCAACTCACAATAAACTGTTCGATGTCTCTCTCCCATCCCACATTGGGGAGATCCGGCATCATGTGAACCACCACTTTAAACCCTGCGTCTTTTGACATCTGAAATGACTCGCACACCGCCCGCACTGTGTGACCTCTGGACAAGGAAAGGTCAAACAATATGCAAAGAATGATTCTCCTAGAACATTTTCGTAAGACTGAAATATGAAGTACAACCATCAAACCATAATTGCAATTTATCATTTAAGAAATAAACGACGAGTAGGAGTTGTTTATCATACCGACTGTCATATCTCTCCTGCTTTTGGATGCGATCGTTTGGCAATCGCGTTTATCTCTTTATCCAGTTATATTTATAGGGAACAACTCGCTGGACACTCCCCTATCAAAAATAATGTTGTCCAATATACATCATCAATTTGCGAGCAAAAGTTCAAATCTCCATACAATGTTTTGTCGTGAAATAAACCACACTTCATTCTTCATTGTTCTTTGCAAATTATTGCGTAGCTATTATATATTATTCAATCACCCAATTTATAACAAAGTACAAAATCCCACATTGACATGACATTGCAATTAAGAAGCAGACTACAATCTTGTCCATGGCTTCTTCAGGAATCTATGACCCCTAAATAAGAGTATCAGATAACAAGTGTAGAAAACCATAAAAAACATCAAATGAGTATTCATACTCTTCATCTCTACACATGTTCCCAAATTGTAATACATGAACAACTTAATTTGGTTGCTAACTTGCTACATAGGATTTTGAAAAAGACACTTTCACAAATTAGTATGAAACACGATCCTGGCACTTTATCATTACTAGATAGGCCTGCATGTTTTCCCCACCCTATAGGAACTGTCAGTTCTTGTCCTCATGATGCACATATGGGCTGTGCTTAATTTCCTATGTACAATGTCTGGAACTGACTCCTGGACTTGGATGAGTCTGCATCCTCTCACCTGTTTGTGTCCCGTGCCACATCTTCATACACGCTCTGGACACCAATCTCAAGCCTGGTGCACCCGTACTTTAACATATCACTGTAACATAGCATACAAGACATTACAAACCTTTGGGTACCAGGGTTAGAAGAGATCGCCAAGGCCCCGATCCACACATCGATCTTAGCGCTAAGGTGATCGTAACTTTAACATAACCTTACAATAGTCTTAGTGATATGATCGCTTTGTGGAACAGGACCCTGCACCCTACTGCTTGTTGTTAGAGGCAAGTAAATCATGGGCTAGGCAGTGACTTGGAAGTTGGCATGTCATCTGACCCAACTTTGCGGACATGAATCACTGGCTTATCTGGCCCAGATTCTGTTCTTGCTGCCATATTTAGCTGGAACTTCACTGGTTGCGACATAAAACAACCAACAAACATAAAAATCCTATTTTCAAAATACTTAAAATAACTTAAAAGACAAATCTACATCCTCATCATGTAGTTTAGCAATGAAACATGTTGATGCAGATATTTTGAGTAAGTGACTGAGTTGAGTGAATGTTGTTTTACGTGACAGTCTACAGTAGTCCCTCTACATTATGTGGAAAAGTGGCCTGTAAATAATCAAGTCTTCGCCAGGGAGACCAGTGCGTGACAGCAGGAGGTGAGGTGAAATGGGGTTTAATGTTGCATCCAAGAATATTGCACTTGTACAGCGACGTGCATGCACGTGTGTGTGTGGCTGCTTGTACTTGTCCGGACTGATGCTGATTTATAGTGCTAGCACACTGAGATACCATGCAGCAGTTTAACATGAATACCCCACTCAGACACAGTATACTGTCTCCGAGTCAACCAGTCCTTGTTTTAGGCAGGGTAACAACAAGTAGCATCTTTTAATGTCTTTTGGTATGACGCCAGTGGAGGTCAAACCTTGGACCTTCCGCTTTCCAGACACTCTACCACTAGGCCACCCAATCCTCATTAGTCATCCCTTAAAGATTTGCAGGGAGACAGGGGATCAATTCTGACCTTGAATCCCAACTTCATCTTGACATTCGCATTCAACAATCTACACTGAAAGGATGCCATGGATATTTAGATATTTGATAACTTATTACAACTATTGGTAAGTACTGTGCGAGAATTGTCATTTTCTATCCTTTCAAAAATTTCATACATACACACTGAGATCTTAATACACTGATACAAATATTCTTAATGATCAATGATTTATTTTTTTTAAATCATTTTAAAGTGTCCTTTAAGACAGCATCAGTGAATTATCAATGTTAAGGATCTGATGACAAATCTTACCTCAAGTGCTTCCTAAGGCAATAATCAGGTCTTGTTTCAATTGTGATACCAATACATTTTGTTTTGCTCTTCTCTGAGTATCTGCAAAATATGAGAAACTGTATCAAAAGCAATTTCATGCACGTCAAAGATAGTTTCCATCATGAAGATGTGGAAGGGAGCTAACTCTGACAAGGTGGAAAGCATCAACACCATACAAAAAACAAATACAAAGTTACTGTTGTGTACCAGTATTTACAAGACATAAATATCATTGCTGCATGTATGAATGAGTAAAATCAATATTCACAGAAACATACAGAGATGGAGCGTGATAATATATTCTTTTGTATAACTTACTTGACAGCTTCATCCACAGAACTACTTGTATGGCCTGATAACGCATCATGGAGATTTCTGATAAAGTAGTCCCTGTATTCATCAGCAAGACACATGAAAGTCCCGCCCATCACAATGAACTCTACCTTGTCTACGCTGTGTCCAAGCTGCTTCAGCTATAAATAGAATAATCGGTTTACCATAGTTACCAGGAAGCAATGCTACACCAAACATTCCTGCAATCCTGTGTGTGTGTGTGGGTTGTGTGTGGGGGTGGGTGGGTGGGGGGGTGGGGGGGTGGGGGGTCTGTGTGATCTGTGTGATCTGTGTGCGTGTGCGTGTGCGTGTGCGTGCGCGTGCGCGCGTGTGTGTGTGTGTGTGTTTAACGCCTCACTCACCAATATTCCAGCTACATAATGGCGGCCTGTAAATTATGAAGTCTGAGTGAGTGAGTGAGTTGGGTTTAACACCGTTTCTAACAGTATTCCAGTCATATCACGGCGTGTCAGCTTAATGTGGGAGGAAAGCCCAATATGATGCAGGTCTCAGACAAGTTCGGTGAAACCCACAAGCAATATCAAGTCTGAACTAGACAATCCAGTGATAGATATAATGAGCAAAGATCCACATCGTCCGGGTATGATGACACACAATCAACCAAGTCTCCAGGCCTGATCACCCAATCCATTAAGGCGCCTCCTATGTCCAGCATAGGTCACTGGGGACCAACTCTAACCCGGAACCTCAAAAGGATCCACTTATATGATACTGAGGACCCAAGACTTTGTCCCACACATGGCACCCATGTCACAAATCAAACCAAAGATTTTGGTTGGTTGGTTGGTTGGTTGTTTTACGACGCACTCAGCAATATTCCAGCTATATGACGGTGGTCTGTAAATAATTGAGTCTGGACCAGACAATCCAGTGATTGACATCATGAACATCGCAATTGGGATAGATGACATGCATCAACCAAGTCGGCGAGCCTGACCACCCGATCCTGTTAGTCGCCTTTTATGACAAGCATAGTCGCCTTTTATGACAAGCATAGTCGCCTTTTACGGCAAGCATGGGTTGCTGAAGACCTATTCTACCCCGGACCTTCACGGGTCTAAAGATTTTGGTAGTAAATGCTTCAAGAACTGGAGTACCCAACAGCTCCCCCTGCCTTGGAATCCAAACACTGATGATATGTAACTGTTGCAACAATCTTTAGCCACATTATAGTAAATCAGGCAAAACAAACAGCAGTGCAACAGGCACTGTGTACTGTAGCTCACCTGCTCCACTCGGTGCCGGGTCTGGAGATACGGGTTGTATCGGGCTCGGATTGCTCTCATGGACGTCGGCTGAAACCACAGGCGGTCAAACTGAACATGTGCAAAGTAGACACAATTTATGGAAATCAACTTCTTTGATGTACTATTATAGTGACGTTTTGGTATAGATCCTTATACCGATAAAGAAGTTGGTATCTATCAATTTTGTCTTTTTGTCATTTATCAACTTCTAAGAAATGCCTCTCAAACAATGAACATGTGCATCCTATCAGCATCATGAACACCACAATATGTGATGTATTGTAACACATATTTGCCAAAACCATGGAGACTACAACTGTAGTGTTCTGCAGTCAGGAATAATTCAGCTACATCATGGCTTCTGTAAAAAACTAAATCTGGGCCAGACAAACCAGTGGTCAATATTATGAGTGAGCAGTAAACAAAGATGCCGCCAAGTCACGACGACGGCCCACCTGATTCAATCTGGCTGCATGCTGTTGTTTGCCTATCGACGCACTCAGCATTCAGTGAGTGAGTGAGTTTGTTTTTTTGCTGCTTTTTACCAATATTCAAGCAATATCATGGAGGGAGACACCAGGAATGGGTTTAACACTTTGTACCCATGTCAGGAATCGAACCTGGATCTTTTGCGTGACAAGCGAACGCTTTAACCACGACGCTACCCGACCACCCCTCAGCATTCAGAAGTATGATAGTGGTCTGTACATATTGGACCAGCAGAATCACTAATTGATATTACACCTACTCTAACATGGATCCCTACTGGGAGTCAAGCATCTGGTTGCTGGGGACCTATTCCAACATGGATCCCTACTGGGAGAAAAGCATCTGGTTGCTGGGGACCTATTCCAACATGGATCCCTACTCACCTCATATCCTGTATATGACTGTGTGGAGTATTCAAAGTCTGAGTCCGGACCACCGGGACAGTACCTGAAAAAAACATCACACAAAGTCCTTTATATAGACTCTATATTCAACATAATAAACACCCTGCCGCAATAAGTGGTCCCACATTGTTTGAAAACAAAATGTTAAGTGTGTTTCATGAAGTTAACACAGAGAGATTACTTGTATTTTAATCCAGTATTCAGAAACTAGCTAAACCCAAAAGGAATAGGCAGTGTATAAAATGGCAAAAACACAAGAATGGGCATGTTTCCAATTTCCTGACCCTTTTGCAGCATTGTCTGTATTTTTTGTGACTAGCAAAAATTGCCAGTCATTTAAAGTAAAAGCTACAAAAACAAACCTAGCCACCTTATTTTAGGACGGTCATAATGGGGGAAAGGCTCATAAGACTAATCCTCTTGGTTTTTGACAAGTGTCTAAGAAAATCAAGTTCCTCACCTAAAGTGATTGGGTATGGCTTTATGCCGCTTTTAGCAACATTCCAGAAATACCAAGGAAGGGGACACCAGAAATTGTAAATATTACATTAAATTGCATATTTATAAACCTATCCAAATTCACACTATGCATGCTGAAAACTTTGTTCAAGCACATTTTCACAGAAGGATGGAAAGAAGAAGGAAGAAATGCAGAGTGTGAGATAGGAAAAGTATTAAATTTGTGCTTTACACATTGTACCCCTGTGGAGAATCGAACCCAGGTCTTCGGAGTGACGAGCGAACGCTTTAACCACTAGGCTACCCAACCACCCCTCATCTATAAGTGAGAGGCTAACTAAATGTACTGCAGCTTGTGACTTACACACAGATGTTCCCTGTCATGGCGATGTGAGGGCAGCGGTGAGGTTTACACATCACAGCAACCACAGCAATCTACAACAGCAACATGTCTCTCTATCACAATATGCTTATCGTAAGAGGCGACTGACGGGATCGGGTGGTCAGGCTCACTGACTTGGTTGATACAGGTCATTGAATCCCAACTGCATTAATCGATGCATATGATGTCAATCACTGGATTGTCTGGTCCAGGCTCGATTATTTACAGACCGCCGTCATATAGCTGAAATATTGCTGAGTGCGGCATTCAACAACAAATAAACAAACAAACTTTATCACAAAGAAGTAGTGCTGCAATGGTTACCCTTATCATGATTCATGACATATCTCAATGGTAGTAAGTTTGGGATACCAACATGAAGCTTGACACTTGAAGTGAGCCATGACGATATGAAATACATGTATAGAATGCAATCTTCCATGGTGACTCAGCTGCTAGAAAGCAGAACGACAATATGAAATACATGTATAGAATGCAATCTTCCATGGTGACCAAGCTGCTAGAAAGCAGAACGACAATATGAAATACATGTATAGAATGCAATCTTCCATGGTGACCCAGCTGCTAGAAAGCAGAACGACAATATGAAATACATGTATAGAATGCAATCTTCCATGGTGACCCAGCTGCTAGAACGCAGAACGACAATATGAAATACATGTATAGAATGCAATCTCCCATGGTGACCAAGCTGCTAGAAAGCAGAACGACAATATGAAATACATGTATAAAATGCAATCTTCCATGGTGACCAAGCTGCTAGAAAGCAGAACGACAATATGAAATACATGTATAGAATGCAATCTTCCATGGTGACCCAGCTGCTAGAAAGCAGAACGACAATATGAAATACATGTATAGAATGCAATCTTCAATGGTGACCAAGCTGCTAGAAAGCAGAACAACAATATGAAATACATGTATAGAATGCAATCTTCCATGGTGACCCAGCTGCTAGAAAGCAGAATGACAATATGAAATACATGTATAGAATGCAATCTTCCATGGTGACCCAGCTGCTAGAAAGCAGAACAACAATATGAAATACATGTATAGAATGCAATCTTCCATGGTGACCCAGCTGCTAGAAAGCAGAACGACAATATGAAATACATGTATAGATAGAGAATCTCACCAGAGTGTCTTTTGATATCAAATATATCAACACGAGTTGATAAAAGTGGAAAAATTCCGAGGCTTGCCGAGGATTTTTGCCACTTTTATCAACGAGTGTTGATATATTTGATATCAAAAGACACGAGGGTGAGATTTTATTTATCATCCAACATCATTCTTTCAACTTTTTCAATTTGTAGACAGTAATTAGCAGTGTCTTCAGTGTAAAAAGTACTGAAAACGGCTTCAGTAGCAGAGCCATTAGTGATGTCATTTGATTGTGACGTCATGGTAACCAGTGACGTCACAATGGTCTGCAAAGCATTGTGATGTAATTTCATTGCAGCGATATCTACAGTGTAGATATCGCTTGATCTCATCCAAGCGATATCTCCTGTGGGAGCCAGTTTTGGATGATAAAATGCAATCTTCCATGGTGGCCCAGCTGCTAGAAAGCAGAACAACAATATGAAATACATGTATAGAATGCAATCTTCCATGGTGACCCAGCTGCTAGAAAGCAGAACGACAATATGAAATACATGTATAGAATGCAATCTTCCATGGTGACCCAGCTGCTAGAACGCAGAACGACAATATGAAATACATGTATAGAATGCAATCTTCCATGGTGACCCAGCTGCTAGAAAGCAGAATGACAATATGAAATACATGTATAGAATGCAATCTTCCATGGTGACCCAGCTGCTAGAAAGCAGAACGACAATATGAAATACATGTATAGAATGCAATCTTCCATGGTGACCCAGCTGCTAGAAAGCAGAACAACAATATGAAATACATGTATAGATAGAGAATCTCACCAGAGTGTCTTTTGACATCAAATATATCAACACGAGTTGATAAAAGTGGAAAAATTCCGAGGCTTGCCGAGGATTTTTGCCACTTTTATCAACGAGTGTTGATATATTTGATATCAAAAGACACGAGGGTGAGATTTTATTTATCATCCAACATCATTCTTTCAACTTTTTCAATTTGTAGACAGTAATTAGCAGTGTCTTCAGTGTACAAAGTACTGAAAACGGCTTCAGTAGCAGAGCCATTAGTGATGTCATTTGATTGTGACGTCATGGTAACCAGTGACGTCACAATGGTCTGCAAAGCATTGTGATGTAATTTCATTGCAGCGATATCTACAGTGTAGATATCGCTTGATCTCATCCAAGCGATATCTCCTGTGGGAGCCAGTTTTGGATGATAGAATGCAATCTTCCATGGTGACCCAGCTGCTAGAAAGCAGAACAACAATATGAAATACATGTATAGAATGCAATCTTCCATGGTGACCCAGCTGCTAGAAAGCAGAACAACAATATGAAATACATGTATAGAATGCAATCTTCCATGGTGACCCAGCTGCTAGAAAGCAGAACAACAATATGAAATACATGTATAGAATGCAATCTTCCATGGTGACCCAGCTGCTAGAACGCAGAACGACAATATGAAATACATGTATAGAATGCAATCTTCCATGGTGACCAAGCTGCTAGAACGCAGAACGACAATATGAAATACATGTATAGAATGCAATCTTCCATGGTGACCCAGCTGCTAGAAAGCAGAACGACAATATGAAATACATGTATAGAATGCAATCTTCCATGGTGACCCAGCTGCTAGAACGCAGAACAACAATATGAAATACATGTATAGAATGCAATCTTCCATGGTGACCCAGCTGCTAGAACGCAGAACAACAATATGAAATACATGTATAGAATGCAATCTTCCATGGTGACCCAGCTGCTAGAAAGCAGAACGACGATATGAAATACATGTATAGAATGCAATCTTCCATGGTGACCCAGCTGCTAGAACGCAGAACGACAATATGAAATACATGTATAGAATGCAATCTTCCATGGTGACCCAGCTGCTAGAACGCAGAACGACAATATGAAATACATGTATAGATAGAGAATCTCACCAGAGTGTCTTTTGATATCAAATATATCAACACGAGTTGATAAAAGTGGAAAAATTCCGAGGCTTGCCGAGGATTTTTGCCACTTTTATCAACGAGTGTTGATATATTTGATATCAAAAGACACGAGGGTGAGATTTTATTTATCATCCAACATCATTCTTTCAACTTTTTCAATTTGTAGACAGTAATTAGCAGTGTCTTCAGTGTAAAAAGTACTGAAAACGGCTTCAGTAGCAGAGCCATTAGTGATGTCATTTGATTGTGACGTCATGGTAACCAGTGACGTCACAATGGTCTGCAAAGCATTGTGATGTAATTTCATTGCAGCGATATCTACAGTGTAGATATCGCTTGATCTCATCCAAGCGATATCTCCTGTGGGAGCCAGTTTTGGATGATAGAATGCAATCTTCCATGGTGACCCAGCTGCTAGAACGCAGAACGACGATATGAAATACATGTATAGAATGCAATCTTCCATGGTGACCCAGCTGCTAGAAAGCAGAACAACAATATGAAATACATGTATAGAATGCAATCTTCCATGGTGACCCAGCTGCTAGAAAGCAGAACAATTGTGTGCTACTTACACCACTGGCTGTTCGGACGGGCTTCGCCTTCAGTTTGGGCAACAGAACCTGCAACAATATGGACATGATAGACACAAAATGATGAATTGGTGATTTAATAAATGCATACTGGATCCCTCACAAGAGGAGCTTGCACTGATTACCAAGGTGCCGTTGTATAATGCAATCTTAGCACTAAGGTGATCGTAACTCACACACCTTAACACATACTTACAACAGTTGCGGGTTGAAAGGTTGTCGTCCCTCTACCCATGGTAGTGGTCAAATGGGTTTTAATGTCTTGTTCAAAATTATAGTGCATGCGTCTGTCTGTTTGTCTGCATGAACTAGTCGGGACTAATGCTGTTGTTAGTGCTAGATCACTGAGATACCATGACACAGTTTAACATGGATCTCCCACCCAGGCAGTGTATACTCTGAGACAACTAGTCCTTGTTTTATCCCCATAATAACTAACGGCAGGCAGGGTAACAACATGTAACATCTTTTAACGTCTTTTGGTATGAACCACCAACCTTCTACTCTACAGGCAAATGCTCTATCCATTAGACCACAAAGGGGGTCCTAAACCTATGGTATGTCATTTAGGTAGGATTTTGAAGGCAAAGTTAGGATCATCTAATGCCCCTTAAAATGGTACTATATTTCAACAACAAAAATTCAAAGTTGTGACCAATGATACTTGATACAATATCTTAGCCAGCTATGATACAATGAATGTACCTGTGAATACATGTTTATCCAGTACCAACCAACTTACTTTTTTATGTTGATGTGGCACTGCAGCAATGATATCAACAAGGCGTGGCTGACTCGATAATCCATACTTGCTGGAGATCTGGGTCTTTACTCTGAGGAAATACCATTTCACAATCTCGTTGAAATCAGATCTTAGTTCTGGCTACCGCTAAACAAAGATCTGAGGACATCCCATTACGGGTCGCGTCAGACCGACCTTGTGCGAACTTTGACCGACCAATTGAATGACCAATCAGAAGGCAGCTTTCTCGTGCTTTACGGCACTTTTCAAATTGGCGACTAAAACATATTTTGACAAATTCTCGATTACAAATTTGAAACCTGAACAAAAGAACATTCTGGAATGGCTAATAGATGGTCTAGATTCTATGGATTCGGTCGTTAAACCCATAACTATCGTTCGGAGTTAAAGTTTTCGAGGTTGCATGTTTAGAAATCACATTCCAACTGTCACTTTCATAATCTGGTAAGCGATGCTCTGATTGATCGGATGAAAGGTCGTTCTGACGTGACCCCTAATGGGATGTCATCAGATCTTTGTTTTGCGGTAGCGAGAACTGAGATCTGATTTTAATGAGATTGTACCATTACACAACATAGTGCAGAGAGAATTATGATGATCAAGTCACATAAGGAGAATGATCCTGATCTGGCCATAGAAACAGGAAGAAAAACAGATCAAGCTAGACAAAAGACAGACTATGCCATCTTCACAAACATATCAAAATACCAATTCTCCATTTGTTCCAATCATGTCAAAATATGTATATAAAATACAAAGCCTATCTATGTATGTATTCAATGCCATGTTGTACAAAAGAGCAAATCTGAAACAACATGCTATACTATCCTATCCTTGGATGCAACTTGGCACGGTGATTCTTAACATATTTTTGGTCATATATGTTATCGGGCTAGTCAGTGTTTTAGGTTAATTTCCATCCCTGCTTATTCTCTGCATACTGGTTTACTAAATATTATTGTAGTGAGTGAGTAAGTGAGTATGGTTTTACACCGCTTTTAGCAATATTCCAGCAATATCACGGCGGGGGACACCAGAAATGGGCTTCACACACTATACACATGTCGGGAATTGAACCCGGGTCTTCGGCGCGACGAGCGGATGCTTTAACCACTAGGCTACCCGACCACCCCAAATATTGTTGTAGCCACTTTAATGAGTTTAACAATATTCCAGCCTCTGCATGACAATAAAAACTTCTTGGCTACCCCAACACCCTTGCTTGTCAGGATGTAAATGTACTCACTGACCTTTTCACCAGCTTTTAGATATATATATTGTTTGGAGCTTCTGACAGAGGTTCTTCCACTAAATCAATCTACAAATGACTTAGCCTTAATCTTAACCATGTTAACACATGCAACCATCATAGTTCATATTTGTTTCATATTTTGATAATTTTACATATTTTACATATTTAGATTGTTTTGTTTGTTTATTGTTTGAAGCCACCATCAGCAATATTCTAGCTAGGTGACGGCGGTCTGTAAATATTCAAGTGATTGATATCATGAGCAATTATCTACGCGAAATTTTACATTTATGACCTCTAAAACATCTAATGGCATGTCAACATTATTTCTGCTTAACATGATAAAGACCACTTTTTACCAATAACATTTCATGACATCAAATCATCGTGACAGTGACATACTTGTTCAGATTGATATCTCTGCCCTCTTGATGAGCTTTGATCAGCTGATTGATAATCTCTGTGACCGTCATCACCATCAGCTCCTCACGGGAAACATCCGGCACTGCAACCATGACAACAGAAAGATGTACATTGTGCCTTTCATGTTCGTCAGGGGTGTGAAAATTAAAACATTGTCTACTTAATTACTTAAACGCTGATATTTGTGACCATGCATGGTGACACACCATGTGGGGAATCAAACCCAGGTCTTCGGTGTGACGAACAAACGCTTTAACCACTAGGCTACCCCACCACCCCTATAAGTATGCACTTATGCGTCATCATTCTCACTAGGTATTTCAATATACACAACGTTTCTGGAACACTTTCATACAGTACAGTGTTCCTAATCTCACACCAGAAAGACATATTTTAAGCATTCATTAGAACACTAATCTGTTTCAATAAAATTCCTTTGGTACATAGTGGTTCTAATCATACACATCATATTTGCGGATATGTGTTTCTTTTTTTTTTTTAGAAAACATGGAAAAGTAAAATCTCAGGGAAACCTCCATAAACATGTTAAAGGGAAACAACCAACACTTCAAGTGTGCAAGTATTGAAATATGGATGGGCTTTTTCTTTGCGGATTCAATAATTGCCAATTATGAATAAAATTTTGACTGGTACAACTTGTGTTCAGCTCTATTCTTGTTGCGCTGCGCAAAGCGAAACCTATCGGAGGCGTGAAGGAGAAACCATATATAACAATGGTATACAATAAATTATGAGTTGCAGCCAAACCGACATGTGTTTTTGTTGTTGATTAACATGATCAGTGCATACACAACTTTAAAGGGTGAAGCTATTAATCAACATATATTATGTACAAAAACAAACAAGTGATTACAACCTTGGTCAATAAAAAAAGTGAAATTTGAGATAAATTATCACTGGTCTGAAACCCAGTTAGTTGGGTTGCTGACACTATTTGGTATCTGATGATTATGAAGGCTAATTAAAACGGTGCCAACTGAACAACTGAGAGTTGGAGTGATGTTTCCCTTTAATCTGAACCACAGTTAATTATGTCCCCTCAAATGATCTCCCTCAACAGGTATCATGGCAGATATGTGCTTAGCTAACCGAGAGCCATGATGGTGTCCAATAGTCAAGACAGGACGGTTATATATATACACATTAAGAACAACAAATGTTCAAGTGGTAAGAGAAACACAGTACATAGATTATGATTTACTAGCGTTGTGGTAATAACCTTGCATTGACCATGTTGACAGTCATACATTTAACATGTTTAAGATTTAAGGGTGTTTAATAATCACTTAATGATCATTGGTCTATTATTGTCTACATGCATGTCCAATCCTAAATATTCCAGAATTATTGTTTAATGACCCAAGGAAGCTGTCTTGAGTTATGTGGACACAAGTGAAAGTAGTAAGCTAGAATATCTACAATTAAATCAATTATCAATCTTAAAAGTTCATTCAGCAACAAATTCTGCACACGCAACCATGACCACTTGACTACAGTGTCTGCAGCTGTCATGAATGTTTAGCCTGCCTAACCTGGCAATGGCATCCAATTTAAAACCACAGAATTTCTCCTATTGCAGTATACTCTATTTGATATGAATTAAGAGCTGAAATACTTGCCTTTCTTTCTATTCTTCACCATGATAACGTTGATTTTCAACCTCTACACACAACCATCAACAACAGATAATTGCAACTACCTTGCGTGTACACATGTTCAACGACCTTCACCTTAAATCATAACATAAAGCTACACAAGTTAGTTTCGAATATAACGAAAATATTTTGCGACATAACATGAGACTGCATCCCATTAAGACATAAAACCCAATATAAAGATTCCATTTGACTATTTATATTCATGGAATGCTAACGTAAGAAACTATAACGATCGCAAATGATGTCAACGGGCACCTGATTTGGAAAACCGAATACTTCCGGGTCAAAGGAGACTCTCTTACGTTCATGAGTTGGGACAAATGACTCAACAGCTGGCTAAGATTTGACAGGGGTGACATTTGAGGTCGATATGGAACATTTTTAAGCACCACATCACCACCATGTATTGTTTACAGTGGTTAATACCTGTCCTTCTTATCCCGAAGCCGCTAAACCCGGCTTTTATCTACAACCATGCAATGTTTATTGTTTTGTATTTGACAAGTTTCTTTCTGGTGAGGAAACCCTGCACGATATGCAGCATCGTGTTCCTGGCTGCGGTGTCCCTCATCTGCTACAACTGTGTCGGCAACTGCATCTTGTGGCGGTGTGCTGACGACGAGTGCGACGGGGCAGAATGTCGGGACTGATTGAAGTGAATTCCTGAGAATATTCCCGTGGGAAAACTGATTGTGCGGTGTATGTTCGTGAGCCATCATGAACACATGGTCATGTACTGGGTCTAGCGTGTACAGACATATTAGACCAAAAAAACATATATGTTTGTTGCTCTTCTACTGAATGAATTAATGTTTCAGACCGTGTAAGTGGACATTGGTCAAGTGTACATAAGTACGTGATCAGAAATGATGAATGTGTGTTCAAGAAAATGCTGGTGTCAATAACCCAATGATATAACCATGGATAAATCTCAAGTTATCACATTCTTGGTGTGAACATATTCAGCTGGATGAAATGTCTCAAATATTAAGAACAGAAGAACTGGACGCTATTCCATGCTATTCAGGACTGTATGATCATAATGGTCATTATGATATTGTTTCCAAACCAGCATTGTGTGGACTGTGCAATACATCGTCGATCAAATCATTTCTTTCATTTCAAACTTCATCACAACCCAAATGTCTCTGTATAATTTAATATTTTAATTGAAGAAACAGCAAGAATGACTTGTTAATATACTTACATCCAGATTCCAACAATCAACACATGAAACCAAGAGGTGAAGAAAGAAGAAATCGAATATGTTTCAGTGCTATTTTGTGGACAAAAGTACTTACCTTACCATCAAGGAAATCTCATGTTTGTTTGTGCTGCCGATATGTTTGAAATGCCAACAGGAGTCTGTGACTTGATGCCAAAGATGAAGCATGCTGCTGATGACAGTTGATGTGTGTAGAGTAAATGCACAATATGCAAAGTTGAGCCGTAGTTTGATGACTGCTTTTGGAAGACTTCATGCAGACAACGTGGCCTTGTTAGATCAGAAATCTTAACCTGATGATTCTATATAATATATATATAAGTACATATCATGTTTATCCATCAAAACAGATGTAATGTATCATGAGACTCCAGACCATCATCACAAGCCAAGCATGTATATCAAGATTTGATCAAGTATATGTACAAATTCACAATGTGTTTAACACATGGCATCTTCATTGTAATGACCGTAAAGGCATAATATGTAGTGTACACCAACTATGTATTTTTAACCACTTTAATATGTTTCATAAGCAGGTCATGGTTACTTTTTTTTAATTTTTCCATAAAACCACTGGATCACTAAATTCTAAATGTTAAGGTTTAACTATTTTAAGGTTCCAAATGATGAGACTGTAGTGTAGCTAGGAAGGCAGGGTGTTGGCTTGTGTTGTACATAGTGTGAGATCAATGCTAACCACCAATGCTTTTTAAGATCTTTATTTATGTCCCCGTCTACTGAGAATGTTCATCAAATTTAAGAGAGGGCTTACTGTACTTACCTAGCTTTGACATTTCTAAAAGTTGCATCCCTAAGGCATACAGAGATTCTATGACTCTTCGTTGCTGATTCCAGATTCTTGGTTTGTAAGCACATACCCTTGCTCATGAGGTTTTAGAAAAGTGGTAAAGGTCAAAGACTTTAACATGTTTAAGCTTTAAGCATGTCAAGCTGACACACCATGACATATAACCATGGTAACTGAAAATGTGTTCAAATTAGATTTTTTTTTTTGTTTAACACCGCTCTATAGGTAAGTACAAATCTTTCAATTCTAAATATTTTGTTGGTTTAAACATGTTAAATATGTAAGAATTCAAAATGAACTGATAGTGATATATAATTTCTTTCCTTTTAAAGAATTATTTTTATATATGTGGTACTGGTAACACTGGAAAGTACAATCATTATTTAATGAAAATATAAGTTACAAACTGGGATACTGGGCAGTAAGGTAGCCTTAAGTAATCCTCACCCAGTTGTTATTCCCCACATGGTGTGTTCTTCATCTTCCTGAGGCAAGGGCATTAACTGACTATAAACATGATAAAAGTCCGGTTTCCACCCTTGCCAAACTGGGCTGGAATTTCCAGGCTTGATCATAGCACTGCCAGTGGCTATTTCGAGTTATCATGGTTATGTCCCTCCTTTTGACCAATCAGATTCCATTTCTCATATCACTTGCATTTACTTCAAACAAAATGGCGGCACCAAGTCAAGACGATGATCGATAATCAAGATCTATGTTGTAATAAAATGGGTCTTACCCTGCAAAGTGCATCATATCACTTGAGCACCTTGATTAAAAACATTAAAAGATTTTCAAAATATCTGTCCAGTTGATGGTACACATGCTTTGTAAATCCTGCAGTCGACTGAAATCTGCATGTTGAAACCATGTTTACAATCTGGATGTCTAGTTGGTAACGCGATTTTAATTGGACTATACATACACTCATAAGTCCAGCCAAATTGTAACTTCTGAATTGCAACCTAGCTCGGCAGGGTTGAAACTTGACTTTTATAGTCACATAACACTGTTGCCTCGGGAAGACGGGTGTTTTTTGACATGGTGGTGCTGGAACCATTTCTAAACCTTCCTCACTCACTTGACAGCCTCCGTGGTCTAGTGGCTGGAGCGTGCGCCCAGAGAGTGGAAGTTCATGGCTCTACCCCTGTCCGCATCATACCAAAAGACATTATAAGATGGTACTTGTTGTTACCCTGTCTTGCGCTCAGCATTAAGGGGCTAAAACAAGGACTGCTCAGCTTTGAGTCAGTATACTGGTTCTGAGTGGGTATTCATGTTAAACTCCAGCATGGTATCTCAGTGGGCTACCACTATAAAACCAGCATTACTGTGGACTAGTAGAAGCAGCCACTCACATACGTATACATGCATTCACATCACTATAAGTGCAATAACCCTGACTGCGACGTTAAACCCATTTCACCTCAATCACCTCCATCCCACTTTCCAAAAATACGATAAATTTCACAGTCATGGTATGTTGTGTTGAACTTGTTCCTTCAGTCCTTGTATAAGTGAGTGAGTATGGTTTTACGCTGCTTTTAGCAATATTCCAGCAATATCACAGCGGGGGACACCAGAAATTGGCTTCACACATTGTACCCATGTCGGGAATCGAACGTGGGTCTTCAGCATGGCGAGCGAACGCTTTAACCACTAGGCTACCCGACCGCCCAAGTCCTTGTATAAATGTAAGTTGTGCACTTCTGTCACCACAAATACAATGTACTTTGCAAGGTTAACCAGTACAAAAGACTTTAGCACTGGATGCATTGACAGCATTTAAGGTTGACCTTGTGATGTTCTGACCTGTTTGGACTTAACATAAGGGGCACCAGTGATGAATGTTGTCATAAAGTAATTTGATGATATGAAAACTTGTGTGGTCCTTCCTGAAATGTTAACCATAGTCAGTACAAGAACTGACGGTTTGTGGATTGTTTTTTTAATTAATTTCTGCATGTATATTTTTGGTACAAGCCATGGTTGTAACATACTTGACGTGAAGAAATGTTACATTTGTGATAAACTTCTTTTGTTGTATGACGGTAATTGCCTTGATTGACTTGTATCAAGAAATGACTATTGCCAGCTATTAGCCATGATATATTCTGACATGTCTTATGATGTAATTATGCTAATTATGCCTGGGACTTGTAAAGTTCTAAATTTTGTAAATGTAGTTTTGTGTTATCAGTTATTTTGTTACCATGGTTACAGACGAGTGTAGTAACTATTTGGTGACTTGTTGGTTCCTGGGTATATTTTGTGCCACAGTGCGACTGTGAGTGTGGTATTAGGATGTTATGCATGTGTTGACAGAAAATGAACCATGTATACTACTTAAAACAAGTTAAAAAACACCTGATGTTTTAATATTGCTACAGTTAATCTGTTGCCATGATTCTTTCATTTTGCAGTGGTTAATCTGTCGTACCATGACAGATTAACTATGGTAATATGAAAGAATCGCATGTTCTTTAACTTCTTTTGAGCGGGATATATAGATATAGATACAAATACCACTCAAAAGAAGTGGTATATATAAACTTTAAGTTCTTTTGAGTGGTATATATATACCACTCAACAGAAGTTAAAGAACACTCGATTCTTGAGCCTGATTCAAATTACATGATGCTAAGAATAGCCATCCAATTAAATTACTCTCATGGGCAAGAGAAATTCTTTGCCAAGTTATATTAGAGATTGAGATGGTAGTGTAACGTCTGAAACAAAGCTTTGGTGATGAATGGGTCCAGGGTTTTTATCTCAGTGGAATCTGTCATACCCTGGACACTTGAGGATGGATACTTTATCATGTTTATTGTAAAATACTATTTTCTGAAAGTATGAACAGAGTAATCAAGCCTTTGCTAGTTCAGCTGATGCGAGTACACTGAACATGTTGAATAGTTAGTTCAGTTGTCTCTCTAGTCCTTTTATTACTTTATAAAGAAGGTTTCTTGTATTTTGTTGGAATCTTACAATCATAGCTTATGTAATCAATGGTGACATGTGTTACTTACACATTAATTGTCTCAGTGATACTTGTGACTATGGTGACCATGGTAA